GTCGGGGAGCATGCTCCCCGACCGTCGGCCTGTCGCTTGCATAAACCCCTCAGCGGTCATAGTCGGCTTTATCGATCCGACAAATTGCCCACTGCTCATGTTCTAATCAACGTCCTTTGGATTGGAGATTCTCCGCATTAACAGAGGCATGAAATATGAATAGCTTCCTCTCGTTATTTTATGAGATTGATAGACATCCCATCACACAGTTTACAATACCAGAAACAACAACAAACGCCTCTCAATGGAAAAGTTCGACGTCGCCGTAGTAGGCCTCGGTGCCCTTGGCAGTGCAGCAGCTTGGCAAGCGGCACGAAAGGGAGCAAAAGTCATCGGCTTTGAACAGTTTGAGTTTGGCCACGTCCGGGGCGCGTCTCACGACACGTCTCGCATCGTCCGCACGGCATACGATGCTCCAGAATACGTCTCGCTCGCCAAAGCAGCTTATAAAGACTGGGCCGAGCTGGAGAAAGACGCCGGTTTGAAGCTGTTGACTGTCACCGGTGGTATCGTGGTACTTGCGAATGATCGCACCTGGACATCCGGCTTCAAGGTGTCGGATTACACTGCTAGCCTTGATGCCAACAACGTACCCTACGAGCTGCTGGGTGCCAAAGAGGTCAATAAGCGATGGCCCAAGCTGGACATTGGTGATGACGAGAATGCGGTGTACACCCCAGATACTGGTATTGCGCACGCGGCTAAATCAGTCACGGCGATGCAATTCGTTGCTCGCGCTCGCGGAGCCATTCTCAAAGAAAACACGCCAGTCACTGCAATCATACCAATCGCGAATGACAGAAAAGACAAAGGAGTCATCGTCAAGACAGCAAACGGCGACTTCCAAGCTCGGAAGGTCATTCTGGCTGCAGATGCCTGGACCAACAAACTACTTGCTCCCCTCGGTGCACAAATTCCGCTTGAGGTCATGCAAGAGCAAGTAACATACTTCAAGCCTAAGGAACCATCTCTATTTACTGCCGAGCACTTTCCTGTATGGATCCGGGTGGTTGATGGAAAGACATTCTACGGGTTTCCCACTTTCGGTGAACCTACCATCAAGGCGGGCCGAGACGTGTCCAACAATCACATGAACCCCGAAGAACGATCATACATCCACTCTCCGAAGCTCTTGGATGAGTTGACCGGATTCATGAAGGACTTTGTGACCAAAGATGAGGAACTTGAGATCCTTCGCACAGTTACATGCCAGTATACGATAACCCCAGGTCGACAATTCATACTTAGTGCACTGGATCAGTATCCCGACATTTTGGTTGCGTTGGGGGCGGCTCACGGTTTCAAATTCGCACCTGTTATCGGCCGCGTCATGGCGGAGCTGGCTATAGATGGAAAGACAACTGAGAATCTGTCCAAGTTTGTCGTACCGGCGATTCAATCAGGTATTCGAAGTAAGATCTAGCATAGAGATAAACAGCGCCATCATTATTTCGAGATCCATCGAGTTATACATGATATTATGATATAATCCATCATCCATACCTATTCAATACATCGCAAAATGAATATGCCTCTTCACGTTGGCATCACACTCTGCTTTCGATGGCACTCTCAAGTTGCGCTGCTCAGACCATCGGAACCAGTAAACATAGCCCAAGGCTTGTTCAGGTTGAGCAAATAGAATCGGGTACCTCATTGAAAGAGTGCCTTTTACTCGCGCTGACAAAGGAAATTGGCGGACAAGATTGCTTTATATGTAATTACGCTACTGAGAGGCTCGATGCATGCACGCAAAGATATATATAGGTCAATAAATTTAGAACGGATTAAGCATCGAAAGGACTAAAAAGAGGAGGATTTGGGCCGACGACTGATAACACAGGTACCATCCTGAGAAGAGAAAACATTCGAGAGCCAGCATAGACATCCAGATCATGTCATCACCTTTCTCTACATGGACCGCTTCCCATAGGGCTCAAACGGTAAGATCACAGCTATAATAGCCTTTCACATAACGATCAGTGTCCGGTTCCATGAATTAACGCCAGGAGTGCAGCTTACCATGACGATGTATAGCACAGCGCATACATAGATAGGGACTGATGTCGCAGTGTTACCGTAAGCTGCTACAAACGAGGATACCAAACCCATGATTCGGTTTCCTGCTACAGCTATTCCGTTGCCGGTTGCCCGATGGGCTGATGGCAGCACCTGTGCCATGTCAGTTGATACACCTAGAGCTATTCCAGGTGCTAATTTGACAAACCTCTGGAGTGTACGCATACACTGGGAAAGATCCATGTCAGTATGTCTCTTATCAATGTAGGCGCCAGTGACTCACAGGTTCCATAGTATATATTCAACGTAAAAGCTATGACGCAACTCAAGGCAACATTCTGAGCCGGAGTCTTGACGGCAGTATAAGCAAAAAAGAAGGCCATTGTGATAAGAGCTCCAATGGCCATGGTATACTTGCGGCCAAGCAGCTTGGAATTACACATGAAACCAGCAGCCACTGGTCCAAAGATACCCGTGATACTGCTAAGCATGTAGTTTCTCCACTGGTAATACGGTCCTGACTCTCCTGTTTGGGCACCACGACTGGCAAGATAATCAGGGAGAAAGACATAAAACAGTGGGTACGCCAGGCCTGCACACGTCAGTTTCATCGCCACAATGTAAAGCAGTTGTTGCGTTACCAATAAGAAGCCAAGACATCCAGATCAGAATCGTTGAGATGGCGAGCTTCCTTGTCACAAAAAGTCCATGTATATGCGCCCAGAACTCACCGACCCCGTACCTGGACTTGCCATATGTGGAGTCGATGGTCCCCATAGACTCAAGTGCCTCAACAGTGAGACTACACGGTCGTTGATATTTCTTTGCAATATCTTGGTAGATGGCAACCACAGCAGCGTCGTCGCCTTTGGCAAGAAGGTACTTGGGGGTCTCCTTGAGTCGAATCACAGTGACTCGTAAAATGCTGCATACAAAGACGAGAGCTCCATTGCCGTACCAGACATATCGCCAGCCCTTCAATACGGATCAGTCACAAGAGCCAAGTTTATCGTATATCAAGTGCCTTTACTAACCATGTTGTTACCTTTAGTACATGTATCAGCATCCACGCAGACGTACTTGGGATTCGAGTAGATTGGCCAGCAAAAGGCGGCAACAATGACATAAGCGAGGCCCCACCAGCAGGCCATCAACGTAACAAGCCATTGCTTGTTACCAGGGAGAAACTCGAGGAAGACGGTGGTATCTAGAACAAGGTTTCCGCCAGCACCAAATCTATCACTCACTGTTAGTAAGTTGCGACTTCAATGGAGAAGAACCTCTTTACGCAGCTAGGCCAACAAAAGTAGCAAGGACAATCCAGTTAGGCGATGCACCAGCCGCAATGGCAAATACGGAGGATAAGAAGAGTGAAATGTTGAAAGCATAACGACGACCAATGACATCCGCACCTAAGCAGCAAATCAGATTTTATCACAGAACGAGAAGGTTCATGTTGGGTTACCTAGTCCCCAGAATAACACCCCAACCAGCATTCCGGTATAGACAGCCACATTGAGGCCATAAGAGAAGGCAGGACGAAACTCAAGAGCAGCTTGGCTGGCAGTCACAGCTTGAAGGGCAAGGATGAGAGAGTCAGCAGCGTAGCCGAAACCATTCAGGAAAAACAGCTTGAGGTGCATGTTTGTCCACCCGATTTCATCCATGGTCTACACAGCAGGTGCATTAGTTTGGATTGTCATTATAGGCTTGGATTGGAACTCGTTCGACCTTATTGATGAGGCGCATCTTCGCATCAAGCACGGGGTCGATTTCTCGCATAGAGAAGATTTGGTCATCCTCGATCTCCATCTCGAGACTCCGAGACTCACCATGCCGGTCGCCACTGGTACGTAGGTCGGCATAGCGTTCTCGGTCAGAGAGTTTATCTGATGGGTGAGACGCGGCAACTGGACCGCCCGTGGTAGATTTGTCCGACATGATCACGCAAGATGTGGAGAGGAAATGGTTGGTGTATGTGAAAGCTACTCTGGTCTAGAAGTGGCCAAATTGTGGAAACTCTAAAACCAGAACGTGGAGCATGAGTTGTCTTTTATTATTAATTTGGGCTCGTCCATTAGTTCCTATGTTGTCCTTGTCATTCTTATCCAGCTAGTAGAGGTAGATGCATTTCATATCCAGGTATAGCTTTTAGTTGCACGCTATTGATTGGTTGATCTGCGAGTTGGCATCAGTCTGATACTCTAGATGTAGTTCGTCGAGCGGGGTAATCAGATATGGTATGGGGCACGGCGTACACATTTCAAGTTCCCCGGCGCCCAGGAAGCTCTTAGCTCGTCTGCCAGAGCAATCTTATGCATCAAATTGATTACTACTTGTTATCAAAGGACCCATCCATGTACGCATGAACCATGTTCTATTCGATTCAACCAATCAGAATGATTTGATTTCATGACCCCAGTTCTAAGTCTGCATTCCAATATCAAATGAGGGGGTTGTACTGATAACTGATCAGCCAGCACGTGATCGGGGAATACCTCTGTAGTCTCCCCGAGAGCGGCACTGAGCGGGGCGGGGAGAATATGGGATGCCCGAACAAGGCAATGGTCATGCGACAGTCATGATGAAGTTATCATTTACAGTTCCCGACCAATCAATTAAATTCTATAATCATAACAAAGATACGGCCTATCGCAGCCGATCATCCTCGTACAGGATAACGATGACAGAAGGGTATGGAAGCTCTCGGGGAGGTCGGACCGTCTGAACTCTGAGGTCGTCAGTGCTGCCTCCCGTACGTAGACGGCGGAAGACGGTTGAGGGATGGCTAGATAAGTGAAGACAACAAATGCTCTTGTTTGACTGCCAATTCAATCTGAATAACTTCGTTATTTCAAGCAAACTTAGCTATTTTCTACCTACAACTTTGCCAGATCTTTAACAATATCACGTCATCATGTTCTCGAAACTCGGTTCGGTGCTGGCCATGACCAAGCCAAATGGAGATGCAATCCTGTCCAGCAAGCCAGATGCTCAGGAGCCACGCGCCCTCCCCGCATCATGGTATCGGCAAGATGAAATGTATCAACTCGAACGCCGCGCCATTTTCTCTAAGCGATGGCTTCTTGCCACGCACAAATTGCGTTTCACCAAGCCCGGAGACTTTCTCCGCTTCGAAGAGGCTGGTTACCCATTCGTGCTATGTTTGGACAAGGATGGAGAGACCATCAATGGCTTCCACAACATCTGCAGGCACAGAGCCTTTCCAATAGTCACTGAAGGGGAGGGAAACGCCAAGATCTTTTCTTGCAAATACCACGGCTGGTCATACGGGATAAACGGAAAACTTGCCAAAGCACCACGATTCGACACTGTTCCAACTTTCAACAAAGAGAACCATAGCCTCTTTCCAGTTCATGTGCACATCGATGCCATTGGATTCGTCTGGGTCAACTTGGATGCGTCCCCGGAACCAGAAGTGAAATGGACCGACGACTTCGAGGGTGTTGACTCGCAGGAACGGTTCAAACACTTTGACTTTTCTGAGTATCGCTTCGATCACGTCTGGGGCATGCAGGGCAATTACAACTGGAAAACGCTCGCTGATAACTACAACGAGTGTTATCACTGCCAGGTTGCGCACCCGGATGTCAAGGCTATAACAGACTTGACCTTTTACTACACTGTCTCCAAGCCAGGCTACATTCAGCACTTCTCGCGACCCAAGAAGGGAACTGAGCAAGATGATATCAAGATCAGTAGCACATATTACTTTCCCAACTCCTGCATGACTGTTTCGTAAGTCCTGATCCTTCATACTCTTGGTACAGACCCGAGCTAATCCTTTGTTTCTTGCTCAGCCCACACTTCTTCTACATGATGCGATGCGTACCAACATCAGTCGGCACTTGCTCAATGGAGTATGAAGTCTATCGCCATAAAGACGCCACCGACGAAGAATTCGAAAGGACCAACCAATTCTTCAAGAGAGTTCTCGGGGAAGACAAGTACTTGTGTGATGCAGTGCAGAAGAACTTGGAAGCGGGCGTTTTCACCAATGGAGAGCTGCATCCGGACTTGGAGAGTGCACCAATATTCTTTCAGAATACCGTCAGGCAGATCGTGACTGATCATCACAGAAAGGAGCAAGCGTCAAAGGAGGAGATATGGCCGGCCAGGCGACACGTGTCGACATCTGCGGTCACGAAGGGAGATGATGAGTTTTGTGATGGACTGGCCTGCAAGGCTGATAATGCCGATATGGAGTGGTGAGGTTTTTGTTGGATGTAGTGCGTTGTATAAGGCAAGCCTTTTTCTTCGAGATGTGGTGGTGGAGCATAGATAGTGATAAGTTCTAGTACTGTTGGCTTAGAGATTGGACATATGGGGGCAGAAGTAATAAGCAGAGGTTATGCTAATTCAACCCGTTGACATCATCCTTTCACTTTGCTAATGAATCATTGAAAGATGCAGCATCGATGACCACACGCCATTCCATCCACTAAACCATCTCCTGTGCAACATCACCCGCTATTTCAGGTACTTTGTAGGCACTCAAGAACTCTGGATTGGTGGCGAACTCTTCCTTTACCTATTCATCCTCATCGTCAACATCACAAAGTCGCGTATATTGAGCAGTACTTACAATATCAAGCCCGCCAATCAATTCACCATTGACCCATAGTTGTGGAAATGTCGGCCAGTCGGCATATTCCTTGATGCCCTGGCGAACGGCCTCATCCTGCAGGACATTGAAAGAATCATACTGGATGCCATGCTCGTTCAAGATACGAACGATACGTCGACTGAAGCGACACAGTGGACACTTGGTGACGCCCTTCATGAAGAGCATCACTGGGGCAGTATTAACTAGGCCTCTCAATCGGGAGTTCATTACTTCTCTTGACTCGGCAAGCTCAGAGGTCTCTATCATCTGCGGATCGACCTGTGCCATCTGGATGATGGTGCTCTCAGTAATTGCCGACACAGTCGTATGTATTTGAGTCTGGTATTCTTATACGAGACGGGTTCAAGCAGAAAGAGCTAACACGATCAGGGCTATCATATAGCTGAATACTGACGAATACTTGGCAGACATTATGTACCTCATTATTTGTCAGGCTTCTATTAGCAGGTTATTGTCTTAACAATGGTCTGGCTCTGGTTGGCTCCTTTTTCCGTGCTTTCATTACCGCCAAGACATGCTGTCATACCGATCTTCCTTTTGCGCGTATTGTCTTCCCGGGTCAGCAGCATATATCGTCGACCTCATTGGTCCCACCATTGTTGATCGGGAGCACGATGTACCTGACGTAATTAGTGTCACCACAGAGTAGAATTTATTAGATTGACAGATGATGTAACTAGGGCGAGAATCTTTCCCATGTCCCGGACATCTGGGTTAGTGCAGCCTAAGCGTGTTTCGCTCGATATTTTCGGGGTACGAGCGTTTGTCCTACTGGAAAAGGCCTCAATATTCGGGTTCCGAGATCAGTTCATTGCCGATCAATAATACGGCTTACAATCAATACAAGTATGAGCGCTATGTTTTCTAATAAGAAAGTCTTGATATTTCAAGTCATGTTGTGTTTTGACCTCTCAATAACTACGAAGAAAAAACCTTACAACTTCTCATTCTCCTCAATCCTCTGACACATTTTGCCTATCTTGATTCAGTTCAGATATCCGATCAGCACCTCAACATGCCAACATACCAAATCACTATCAAGTGTCCTGACAGTCAAGACTACACCTTCAGCTGCGAGGATGTTACATGTGATCTGGATGCAGCCGAGGAAAACGGCTTCGACTTACCTTATTCTTGCCGGGCAGGGTCTTGCTCTTCTTGTACTGGCAAGCTCATTTCAGGAACAGTCAATCAAAGCGATCAGAGCTACTTAGATGACGACCAGCTGGAGGAAGGGTATGTTTTACTGTGTGTTGCATTCCCAACTAGCGACTGTGTCATAAAAAGCCGTCAGGAAGATGAGCTGAATTGATTTTTGGGCCATCATTGTTGCCGTGCGGTCACCATCACATCGGTGGACATAGCTGCTTGACAACTTGAGAAACTGTCATAAATACAAATAGTCTCAGCGCACAAGATATTACAAGATCTGATGCACGGTTATGGACATCCAATTCTCTGCACCTGGTGGCCATGGTCACATCATAGATTACAATGTTAAAACACTGAAACAAGTAGTCCAAGTCAATAGAATACCCTGGACCAGTCACGCTAACGGCGTATCACCACCGTCGGCCCCGCACTCAATACAGTTAGATCTGGACTCCAATGCTCGTCCCCGCATTTGATAAGACCGTATATTAAAATAATTGCCCATACTCATACCGAGTCAACGCCCCTCTTTTCTCCCTATCTTCTCTCCCATAAGAGCAAATACACATGCGTCATGTATGGCGGTCGATCGCATAAGCGTCTGCACCAGGCGTGCGAGAATTGTCGGTGAGTCCTCCTGCAGCCTGATGCTGCATTTGTCTCGATGCTCTGGCACTAGCAGGCGATGCAATACTGATCCGCATGGGCAGGAGGAAGAAGACTCGGTGTCCGGGCGAGAGACCAGCTTGTTCGAGCTGCACTCGCCTGTCTAAAACATGCACATACCCAGAGATTCGAGGAAACACTCTGGCCTCGGGTTCTCACAATGGGAGCAATTCAACAGACACAGTATGCTTGCTGGATGCACCCAGGCATGTGAAGCCATGTTACTCACATAGGGTGCTGTATAGGAGAGACGGCTGGCCCAGCTCGAAGCAAAGATTCGTATGATGGAAAGGCAAGAGTATGATCAACATTCCCCATCTTTGCTTCTTGGGTTTGTGTGGCTGATGATGCAAAACAACGATTCAATAGGCTCAATAGTGACATGGAATCTTTTGTCACAAGGATATCAGCAAGCTCAGACCGGGCACAAGACTGGCAGTTACCACTATCACCGAGCATCGATATGGATAACTCCACAACGACCAGGTGCGTTGGCCGATATTTGCCCACTGAGTTAACTTGTTGACTGAGTGGCTGAGACAGCACATTGCCGCCGAGTGACGTTCTGGAAGATGTTATCGATGCGTACTTCCAGTATTGTCACAAGCAACCTTTATGGCTATTCAACCGAGAAGACTTTCCCTCGGTTCAGAGTTGTAGCGAGGAGACACTGTTGACTCTGCTGGCCCTTGCTTCGTGTCATTCGAAACATCCTTTCTTTCATGGCCGCTTGCACGAGCTGACTCAAAGTTACGCACAAGCTGCAAGAGAGGGGATCATGCAGCAGGTAGGCGAGGGCAAGGTCTCGATAACAACAATCCAGAACCTTTGCATGTTGACACTGGCTAATATACAAGGCAAGTTTTCCGCTGATGCCGACTGATATTGTATGTGCTGAACAAGCTGTACAGCCAACAAAACGACTCTTGCATATCTGCACGTAGGCATGGCCATCACGCTTGCAAAATGCGCCAATCTCGACGTTGAGACTTGCGCCCTTGACGACTTTGGTTCGCGTGCAGAATCTCGAAGAAGAGTGTTTTGGAGCCTACATTTGCTACAGCAGATGTATGGACATCAGCCCTTCACTACTGACATTCTACAAGATATTACCCGACCGCAATATATCGCGACATATACAGACCCGCGGAGGAGCGTCAACGAAATGCCACCAGCCATTCCACATGAGGATATTTCAGGTCAAGACGAAACCACAAGTGCTGATAAGAAGAGCGGAACTTGGGCCTACATGATCCAGACGTCTACACTGTGGGGGGAGGTCCGCACGTATGTAAAGCAATGGGCTCAACAGACCAACAACGCACCGCCTCCTTGGTCCATTGAGTCTGGATACGCAGTCATCAACGCTTATCTCATGGACTCAGAGACGAAATTCCCAGACCGTCACCGATTCGATAGCGCGCGATTTACTGACCAAGAAAGCCGGCACCTCCAGAGCAATCGAGGATATTGGAGTCCGTGGGTATATCAGCAATTTGCATATCACACTATACACAATATGCTCAATCATCCTTTTCTTTATTCATCTCGGCCACAACAGTCAGCTCAATTGGGAGTTCCCAACACATTCTGGAAAACATCCTCTGAGCTTGCCTTCATCCATAGCACATGGGTTGCACGCCTCATCGAGATGGTGGTGCATAAAGAATATCGCGTCTCTGACCCATTCATAGGTCATTGTGCGGCGATAGCGGCCACCATTCATATATACTTTTGTCGGGCTGCTGACAAGACTACCAGAGAGGCAGCTCTAGATAGACTGGCGAAATGTGTCGCATTCTTAGCTGAACTGGCTCTGCTCTGGCCTTCCTGTAGATGGTTGGTAAGTAGGACCATGACACATTAGTGTTTTACTGGAACACTAACGTTGAGTAGCACGAAAGACTCCAGTCCCTGATACGGGCAGCTTTCGAAATAGATCCTCAGCAAGAAAAGGACCAAGAGATCCCACCACCGAGGACCATCTCGATCAACACGCGTTTAATGTGGGATATACTTCTTTACAACTCTGGCGCTTACAGGGGCACGGCGAGTTCTCCCCAGATGCGAAGTCTTTTCGATGGCAGCTCGCTGTTCCCAGAGGACAACGCGAGTGACGGGGAGGACATCGTTGAGATAGATAATTTCCACAGCCCAACTGTTGAAGTGAGTCTGGGGAACGGCCAGGCATTGCCGCCGCAGCCAGGACGGCGAAGAACGAGATCTGGCCAGGGAACTCAGGAGCCCCAAGCAAATCTTCTAGCTCAATCTTCTTCCATGCCAGAGCCTTGTGGAGGTTCCACGGAACAAACGCCACTAGCTTCTTGGCCTATGTCTTTGGATATGGCGTATGATCCTTTCTTTCAATTTCAGGATTCTGGGGGCCCCTTTTTCGGAACATGGGAAGTAGGAAACCTCTAGTCTCAGTAGGTTGTAGTGGTAGTAAAGGATTGGGCGGGTCCAGGAGGGTATCAAGTCTGATTCCTTGAACAGAAGACATGACTGTAGTCAACCAGGGTTTCTTCCACTACTAATAAGCACGTCTCACATAGCCTCGTCCAGTGACATACGTATCCTCGAAATAGAGCTTGTAATATAGAACGTAACTGATAAAGAAGTCTATATCTAGACGTGAGCCCTTTCGTGGGTTCTGGCATGATATACACTACACATCTGGGCATCATGGGTTGGCACCACGTATGGTCATCTTGAGATAGTAAGGGTCCTCCTCAATGCGCTCGCGAATTGGTCCCTCGGACAGCTCATTAATATCCCAAGATGCCCAAGCAAACCGGCCCTATTAGTCTTGGTTAGTCAAAAGTCATCGTAGTGACAGAATAGATGTGTAGTGGAGACTTACATGGAGGAATGCCGCGTTCGGGGTTGCGAGCCAAACTGCAAAATTACCCTGAAGAGCGACTGTTTGACCAATAATTGTCAGCTTTACTAGGTGTTGGACATATCACTTGAGCATACTGACTGTTGTCAAATCCAACATCGTCTTTGAAGCCCATTTTCACCCACTCCGGCGACCAGATAAGGCCAGGGTGCATTGAGGTGATCTGCATCTCCTCAACTGGTGTATCCTTGGCAACCATCTGGAAGAGCATAGTTCCACATGATTTGTTTAGTGCGTATGCGGCAAACTGCGTGGTGGTGTCGTGCATATAATTGTGCGTCACGCTACTGGAGACATTGACGACGAACTATAGCGGAAGGTTAGCGCTGTTATGGGCACTCTGGATTATGCAATGGGCTGACTTGCTCTTTGCTTTCCAGCATTCTGTGCATGGAACTTCTCCACCAGATACATGGGCGCATGGACGTTGGCATTAAGGTCCGACCACATATTCTTTGCACCTGACTCCAACAAAGGCTTCAGCTGGGGAAAAGCGGCAGCATTCGACACAAACACATCGACGGAAATCCCTTCGGAAGCTAGCTGCTTCCAGAATGCATCGACGGCGGAGAAGTCGGTGATGTCAAGCTGGCGGTGGATGATCTTGGTGTGCGTTCCAGCGGTTTTCGCCTCTTGCTCGAGGCGACTGGCGCCCTCTTGAAGGACCTCGAGACGTCGTCCCAGGATAATGACCGTCTCGGCTGCGGCACGTACGAAAGAGCGCCCAATTCCATTGCCGATTGTCGTCCCGCCGCCAGTGATCAAGATAGTCTTGCCAGATTGGTTGAGCTTGGGGTTGTCAGTGGAGATAGCATCATATGGCTCGCTGTGCACTATTTTGGTGACATGAGTTTCTCTAGAAATTTCAATGATATCCATGACGTTTGAAAGTGCACGTCGAGAGTTCTATGCGAGCTTTTGTGATTCAAGTCAGTGAGCAGAATACTGGTGGTGGTGTTGTTGTCCAGATGAATATCTGTTGGAGGGGCAGATAGGCATATTTATAAACATCAGCCGGGTCTTCCATCAGCTCTCAGGTCATTAACTGCTTACAAAACTCCTCATATTGAACGCCCTTGGGCAGTGGACAAGTGCATTTCATCTCGTTCAAACATTGTAGTGCGTATTACTAAAATCCCATCTACTTTACCCATTTAGGTTAGCACCCGCAGAGCCCTACGCTTAAACCGGGTGGGCGCCAACTAGATTCGGTTAGGGTCCGTTGGCGACCAGGGCAGCTTGCGGGTTTCACGGCCTCGTACTCTACTCTATTGTCACCTCCTGTCTGAGAAGCACTTCCTCTTCTTGCTCGCCCATGATTCTCTGACTGGTCGCTCTAGTAATTAATTTCCAATCGCTTAGCCGATTTCGCGGTAACACCATATGCAGGCTTGCGCGGCATGCGTCAAAGCGAAGCGGAAATGCTCGCGCCAGAGCCCCGCCTGTCTTCGCTGTCGTTCCCGAGGTTTGGACTGTCAGTACCCGACGAAAAGGTACAGCCAATGGGTCCTTGTACCCGATAGACCCCTTGAAACCTCATCAGAGGATCATACGCCTCCAACATTGGATGCGGAAATGGTTCTGCGCGGCTTGGATCCACTGCTTTTACTGGATGAAGAGACGACTCATGCGCAGCTCTCAAGCTGGTTCACTTCTATTCGTACTTGGGACACCGTCTACTCGGATAGACTCGTGATGGATGACTACTCCTCCTTCGATTTGGACGGTTATGTAAGGAAGGTCCGTGGCTGGCTGGCTGAGTGGGCACAAATGGGAAGCAATCCCTTCATCCATCATCAGCTGTACAGCTTGAGGTTCCCGAGAAGCATTCAAGATGCGTATATGTGCGTTTCATGCTTCCTGAACAAGACTCCGGCCAATGAGCAGCTGGTTATGCGTTTGGTAGAGGAGCGCTCCCAGGTATTGCTAGATGAGCATGGTTTTGACCGAGGTCAGGGCAGTGGCCTTGACTTGATGGACCATATCGCGCGGGTCCAGGCTCTGTTAGTCTACCAGTTCATAGGCTTATTTGAAGATAAAGCCAGCTTGCGTCCAGTTGCTCAAAGTCGGAATGACCTCCTACTGGCATGGGCTAAAGAGATGGTTTCAGCAGCGGCAACCACAGTTCCATCCGGGGTGCGAGACATCCTTACATCCTCAGAACCCGGAAGGCATTACGGCAAAGACTTGATTCAATTACTCTGGCACTCTTGGATCGTTTCCGAGACTGTTCGCCGAACGTGGAATGTCATGGCTACTATGCTCGGGATGTTCAGCTTTGTCAAGCGTGGAAGGGAGGTCCCATGCCAAGGCGGCATGATGTTCACCACCCGTATTGGAGTATGGGAAGCTAAAAGTGCTACCGAATGGCTGGAGATTTGCTCGTCCCAATCAGTAGGGTTTATGCAAGTTGCTGAGGCCCACGAGCTTATATACTCTGCAGACTGCAAACAAATCAACGACATTACAACAACGACACTAGAGCTGACATATGGGCGGGAAAGGGTGCAGCAAAGCATGCAATGCTTAAGGACTCAAGGATTAGGCACTCCAGGGTTGGCGGAGGAAAGGAGATAGAAAGGCTGTGGATTCTTTGGAATAGCAGGCCTTGGTATTGAGTATGAGGAAGTATTTATAGTCCAATTGCAGGACCAAGGGCACCGCCAGGTCTTATTACATGAACAGGAGACAGAATCGTAGACGACCGGTGTTGATTCCGTTACTACTACACAACTCTCAATCTGTCACAGCCATAACAGCTTCCATGCCTCGAAGGAGATCCGCCAAAAGATCCGCTGGATCCTCGACGCCAATGCTCACCCTCAAGAAGTCTTTTGTGACCGTCGAGTCCGTCATTGTCCTCCACTCAATCAAGCTTTCGACACCGCCGAGGCTGGTTGCATGATGGAATAGCATCAACTTGGACGGAAGGTTCCGCGCATATTCCACCTTGTGAAGCGTTAGAGAAAACACAGGTCCATACCCTCGGGGCATCTGCTTTTGCAGCCAACTCCCTTCGATATTAGCTTCGTCTTGTAGACTGGCGTGATGGATCTCTTTGACCACTTTCTGAATGGTCTGAACCTGTTTATCGCTAAGACTTATCGAGGATTGTTGCCGACAGGACCCTGTCAATCCAAGTCTCAATGCACCAACAATGGCCTCCGCCGACTGGCTTTGCTTAAGGACTCTCATCTCGAGAGTTCGGATGCTCCTAGTTGCGAGCCAGCTGTCAAAACCTGCCATGACAGACCCAAGGTATAATCTATCCTGATGGAGTTGCTGCAGCCATTCGTTGCCTGGGCTGCCACTTTTGACCGCCAGGATACCACATAGGAAATCGGAATGGCCACCGATATACTTTGTCCCAGAGTGCATGACGATATCTGCACCATGAATGAACGCATCTTGGAGTGGAGGAGGCGCAAACGTCGAGTCTACGCTGAGATAGGCACCTCTGGAATGGGCACGGTCTGCGTAATACTGAATGTCAAAAGCCTTTCCTGTCGGGTTGACAGGTGTCTCGAGATGTATCAAGTCGCCTGGACCTAATTGGTCGGCGGCACAGTCGAGCGAGAGCACCTCCGTCCCAGACGAACGGGCGTAGAGGTCCAAAGTTCCATGGCATCCGTGATATCCCGCGCCGATAGAGACTTTCTTGGGTCTGAGCATGATCAGCAAGGCATGAAATGCGGCAAGACCAGAGGAATAGGCAATGCAGGGCTGGCCTAGAATAGAAGATAAGACAGTTTCCAGGCGCGACAATCCTGGCGTAGACTGCCTCGAGTAGCAGTGTTCCCCGATGTCTAGAACCGGATACGAAGGTCTCTCATGGTGTTCTCGCATGCGATCCGGAGCTCGAGGATAACGGAAGGTTGCGGCAACGTGAATTGGCGGTGCCACGTCGTCGACGTTATTGAGGACATCATCCGCGTGTACGGCTTGTGTCGCCTTTGATAAGTTTGGCAGAGCCTTTGCTAAGTTATATCTGAAACGCTCCTCTACTGGGTCCATCTCTTCTGTTTTTCGAGACAAGTAGCAAGGCGCCCATGCTCCGAGGTTCTGTTGCTGGCATGCCTGATCGCTGCTTATTTACCGTTCTTTTCAGAAACAACAGTTTGATTAGTCATTTATCAGTCTGTACTACCTATCTCGGTAGGATTTGCCGGTGGTGAGCACAAGATGATTGCATTGTCCCCGATATGTTCAATTGAGTTGGCGGCGGGGAGATTGAACCGCCTCCGGTCACGTGACCGGCTTTTGCATGGCTCTTAGTATTCCCAGCCAGAAGCATTTGGAGATGTGAGCAGGTGGCCAGACTTGCGTAGCCACTACAGTCACCGCTACTAACAGGGTCAGGGCATTGGACTTATTTCAGAGGCTGAAACAAACATAAGAGACACATGCAATTTCTTAAGTTAATGGACTATGGATTGCAATTACTTAGAGATGAGACGCAGACATGCCAACCTTTCGGCGTGACTGAGTCCACTCAATAATGAGGTCTACTAATGAAAGAATCTCTTCAGACGTGTGATCGGCGTGCAAATTGATCCTGACTCTCTCCTTGTCCTTAGGCACCACGGGGAAGTGAACAACAAGAACGCGAAAATTTGCATCGCTAAGAAATTGTCCTAGAGCTGTTGCTCCGCCGTAAGGAGCAATAACAGGAATAATAGGTGACTTGAGAGTATCGCATACAGGCTTCATGGGGATGGTGATGATGCCGAGGTGCTGGCAGCTTGGCCATGCTGCGTGCTTGCTGACAGCATTGTAGAATAAATTGATGTTAGACTGTATAAGCTCTCGTCTCTGAGATATCCATGTTAGCAGAGATGCCTGAGGCTGATGGCGATGCAACATACTCTTTCGCCGTCGGCACTCGCTAAAATGCTGTACCCAGCCTTGACTGCCGCCAATGTCGTGAAGGTTGGTGCAGTGGAGAAAATGAGTCCACGGACGCAACTGAGCAGGACTTGCTTGCACTCTCTGCTTGACAAAACAACGGCTATGACTTTAAGTCAGCATTTGATATCCAATCACAGTCACAAGTCGACTTGGAACTTGCCGCCAGAAGCCCCATGTGCTTTGCCAAAGGTATGAACCCGAATAGAGAACTCTTTCTCCAGACCCAAATGAGACACCAGGCCTGACCCCTTGGGGCCTACCAGTCCCGTCGAATGTGCCTCGTCGATCACAAAGACAGCATTTCCGTGGGGAAGCTGCTCTTTCACCTCCCTAACAATTGCCTCGAGTGGCGCCGCGTCGCCGTCCATACTATAGAATGACTCGAGTGCAATAAACACAAGCGAGAGGCCTGATCTAACTCCTTCATGCTGATTCTTGGTGTCCAGCAAACGTTGGCGTAGACTTGTCAGATCGTTGTGGGTAAAAGGAAGAGCAGTTGCACGGCTCCTATACATTCCTTCTCGGATACTTGTATGGACGAGGCTATCATACAGAACCACATCATGCGGCTGGGTGAGTGTTGAAAAGGCAGCAACATTTGCTTCATAGCCAGTTTGGAAGAACAGGGCACTTTCTGCTTTATGGAACTTGGCAATATACTCTTCCAGTTGCAAAAGGTAATCGGTTGACCCTTCACCCCAACGGGACGCTCTTCCACCAAGGATAAAATTGGGATACTTCCCAAGCTCCTTGAGAAATTCCTTCCCCAATAGACCAGACGAAGATAATGACAAGGTGTCGTTTGAGCCAAAGTCAACCATGTCGGTTAGAGTGCCTGGGGCAGGTGGCTCAAGCTGCCAGCCTCTTCTCTGCCTATCCCTGAGGATTAATTGTAAGTTACGCTGAAGGGCATCTGACTTCGACATGATGTATTCGCTTCTGGCAGTTTCAGAAAGGAAGTAAGGATATAACTCAAGAATAACTTGCTCAATGTAGCGAAACAGTGTAGTTTGGGCGGATCAATAGATGTTAAGGCAGCTAGAGAGTAACAAAAACGAATGTTGGTCTTTTGAGGCACACTCCGATGGCTTGCCTCCTTCGAACATAACAGACTTTGCTGTTGCAGCATCTAGCGGTGAGGTGCCGACAAGTGACCTGTTTGATTCCTCACGGCCAAAAGATGGTAAACACAATGCTTGCCAAGTCGACTAGAGGTAGACAAAGACATTGTTCTGCCAACATCGTACCATAATATTGACAGCACATAGCCCATTGCAAGTGGCGCTGTTCGAGAACAATAGACTCTACTGCGGGAATCTCCAGAAAGCTGCAAAGTCCGGCGCTCTGGGTCTTGTGAAGGGCCACACCAACATCCCTCGCAAGGCATCTCGTGATGCCGTCAAGTCTATCGGTGAGAGCGCTGTGCGACGCTGTGTGGGAACAATGACATCTGCCGCAGGATATCGCATTACACTATGGTATTTGCTTCGACATATCACATATGGCGAGCCACCTTTCCTTGTAAGACATGACTAGCTTGTGCTACATGATCTCGCCATTGGGTCTGCCGTCAAACCGCGGTCGTTGCCGCCCGCTCGTGAGCGCTCACAGCTCACAAGTTCACTTTTAGGGTTACATTGACGAATTCTGCTGCAGGTTTGTGTTTGTCTATGATTGACAACAACTCACCACCAACTGTCTAATGGGCATCAAGGCTGCCAAACTGCTTTAGCGCTGCATTAGTTCCTTATCGTGCAGCTTTGTGTTTGTCTATGACCAACGACCAACAACCAGAGCAAGAAGCTCTAACCCCGCCTACAGTACAACACCATGGCTCTGTGACAGTCTCTCTTATGTCTGGCAGCAAAAAATAAAAAGTTTGAGATGCGACATTAACAAATGGTTCAACAAGAGCACAGATCGACCTAGAATCACTTTTGCATCTTTCAATATTCAGTTGCCATTCGTCCAAACCATCGCAATGGAGAACAAGATCCTTTCCTGGAGCAACACGTCTCCAGAAGCCATCGCTGTTGTTGAGGGAGCTCGTTCTATCTCTTATGGCGAACTCGTCAAATCCGCCAAAACCATTGCACGCTTCCTACTGGAGCAAGGCGTCAGACATGGAGAAGCTGTGGGGATCTTGTTCGATGTTGATCATCGTCAAGTTGTCGCGCAGTTAGCCATTCTCTTTGCCGGTGGAACTTGTGTTCCGATTTCGCCGACTGCACCATTCCATCGCATTGCAAGCATGTTGAGCGATGCCAATGCTCAGTGCGTCATATGTGATGAGAGCTCAACCTTCTCCTCTGAGGGTATTACTCTTCTCCATCTCAGTAACACACCAGCCTCCGAGCTTCCCAATGATGCACCGGACTTTGATTCTTCATGGAGTGAACCACGTCGTACGCACATATTGTTTACCTCTGGTTCAACTGGGAAGCCCAAGGGCGTCCAGATCAGCAGCTCTGCCATAATTCACCTGGCAACTAGCACTCCGGTGACCCCACTGAACACTGGAGATCGGGTGGCTACTTTCAACGACCCTGGCTTTGATCTGAGCCTCTTCGAAGTTTGGGTTACTCTTCTCAGCGGTGCTACTATCGTCATCATCCCAAAGGTGATAGTAGTTGATTCTACTGCCCTGAAGAGCTATCTTCAACGTCAAAGAATTTCCATCATGATTATGCCTGCCGCTCTTTTCCATATCGTGGCCAAGTCATCGCCCGATTCCTTTCACTGCCTTCGACATCTCCTCACTGCAGGCGATGTTGCCAATAAGACGGCCATGCGTTCTGTTCTCGAGAACAGCCCTCCACAACATCTTTGGAACACATATGGCCCGACTGAGTGCACCACCCTTGTGACAATGCAAGAAGTCGATCTGAAGGAGACAGTGCGTGACCGTATTGGCATTGGGCATGCTGTTGGTGAGATGAAGATTGTCCTCGTGGATCAATCTCAGCAGGTAATTCGCGATGCCAAGCAGCGAGGCGAGATCTGCATCGCTGGGCCTCAACAAACACAAGGTTATCTGAATCCGCAACCTCATGATGAGTCAACATTTATTGATCTCAGCACCCCTGTACTCAATGGAGCTATCTGTCACACGCAGAATGACTGTGGCGACCCTCACAGTCGGTATTACCGAACTGGCGACGTGGCCGAATGGAGAGATGACGGCAGCGGCCTAGATTTCATTGGTCGCAGAGACAACCAATTGAAGCACGGAAGCTTTCGAGTAGAACTTGAAGAGATTGAAAGAAATCTCCTCGAAAGCGAACTTGTCCAATCTGTCATTGTCGTGAATCGGCCAGCCCCAGATTCGGCTGGTGTTGCGGTTCTAGTCGCGTTCGTCGTGCCATATGACAAAGCCACTACCAAATCGCAAGACCTGATATCGTTTACCCGGAGCACACTCCCGCATTATATGGTCCCTGATAGATTTGAACTCGTTGAACATCTCGCTGTGGACTCGAGAGGCAAGATTGATCGTCGTGCCTTTTCGGAGATACTCCCTGAAGCGGGACCAAACATCTCCAGTTCAATCCTCACAAATGGGAATCATTCCTTTTCATCAACAAAGGCTACACTGAAGGCTGTGTGGGAGCACATACTGGGCGTTTCGCCTGTCAATGGCGATGACGACTTCATGGCCCTTGGTGCCACCTCACTCCAAAACGCTGCCCTTATCGCTCGCATCAAGAAGCATTTAGGGCGCCTCATCTCCATGCATGATCTGTACTGCCACTCGCGCTTTGCAAGTTTGCTTCACTTTCTCGAGAGTGACGCAGAGTCCATCACTGCACCTAATGATGCGGATAAGTGGATCAAGGACGTCGACATGGTGGATGATATCGAGGAGACACCTAACTGGGAAGACCCAGATGAAGGTAAAATCTTCTTGACTGGTGCGACTGGTTTCGTCGGTGCTTTTCTACTCGACGAGCTTCTGCGTCACCCAAATGTTAAACAGGTCGCTTGCCTGATTCGTGGCAAAACAGAGGTCGAAGCTGCTCATCGCCTGCAAGCCAACATGCAAAAGTACGATCTGTGGCCTGACGACTTTGCTTTGGCAACCAAGATCATCGCCTTGCCAGGGGATATCACGAATCGAGATCTCGGTCTGGGATCGGCCAAGTTTGACTGGCTTGCCAATTGGTCCAGCACCATCTTTCACCTCGCTGCCAAGATAAACTTTTGCGACTCATATCATGAGCACTATGATACCAACATCCTTGGAACTCGGAACATGCTCCGTCTTGCTGCTCGAGGGCGACGCAAGACATTCCACTACGTATCTAGCATCGATACATGGGGTCAGACAGGGTATTTCTTGGGGACCAAGAGGGTCCTGGAAGACGAACCTCTTGGTCCTCATATTCAAGGCGTGAGGTATGATGTGGGCTACTCTCAGAGCCAGTGGACGGCTGAGGGAATGGTACGACGCATGAGAGATCGAGGCTTTCCAATCATTATCTATCGGCCCGGCTTCATCATTGGCCACTCTGTCACGGGGGCCAGCAATCCCAACGACCTTGTATCACGGCTCATTTCCAGCTGCATCAAACTTGGTGCATGGCTCAAGATCGATCTTGATCCCGCGTATGTTACAGTTGACTATGTTGTTAAGGCTATGATACACATCTCACGCTCAGCAAAGAACATCGGCAAGTCATATTGCCTTGTTGCGCCACATATTGAAGAGTCAGTATCTGTGAACAAGACTTGCTCTCTTATCTGTCAAGCAGGCTACAAAGTGGAACTCACAAACTATCCTGACTGGATTGCACAATTATCTGAAAAGATACTTCCTGATGATCCTCTTGCTCCTGTCATGCCGCTGCTGGAAGAAAAGGTCTTGGGCAATTTTACAAGACTTGAGGTGAGCCAGCACTCTCCGATCTATGACTCGAGAAATGCTATCGAGGCTCTTGCGGGTAGCGGGATTCATTATGTTACACTGAGCCCGGATATAATCAAGCGGTACATTGCATTCTGGAACAAGAAGGGGTTTTACTCTATCTGACTTAACTTCTATAACTAAGTCTGGCCTCCACTATATGATGCGCATTATGAAATTTGGTTTGTGAAGCTTTACGGGAACCGGGGGTGGTTGTTTTGCTGTGAACTGGATTTTAATATGTAAAATATTAAAGGGCCAGAACTGGGGAGTGATTGAGAAGATTAAAGGGGATTGGCTAATTGGTGGAAAGTCATAAAAAACACACTATTGGTGGAATCTGCTATTCTAAAAATAAAAGCTGATTCCAATGCGGGGTAAAACAGCTTACCATCCACCAATCTAGCAGAGTAAATTACTTTTACTTTCACCGACAAGATGAAACTTCAATTCCTGATCCTTGGTTTAGAAGCTTCCTTTGCCCTCAAACCTGTACATGCGGCAAGTGATAAGAACGCTTCTCCTTATCGTCCCATTCCAACCAACGCGCCCAAGACATGGGTTCACCCAGGAGTTTTCGTTTCCGGGCCGCAGCTCGACTACGTTGCCAAGAGGATCAAGGCTAGGGAGAATCCTTGGACAGAGGCATTGGATTCCATGCTTAACATGTCGTATATCTCGCCCACGCGAACTGCCGAGCCATATGAGACGGTCGAGTGCGGACCGACATCAACGCCCAACATTGGGTGTTATCCGGAGCGCGAGGATTCCATGGCGGCATACGTGAACGCATTGGCCTGGTGGATTACGAAGGAAAAGCACTATGCTGAGAAATCCGTCTATTATATGGATGCCTGGTCTAGCACGATACAAGCTCACAACAACAGCAACGCACTACTACAGGCGGCCTGGTCGGCCGCTAATTGGGTTCGTGCAGGTGAAATCATGCGCTCGAGCTATAAACACTGGTCCAAGAAGAGTATCAAGAGGTTCTCTGACATGCTGCGAAACGCCTACATCCCCCTCATCGAGGACGGCGCCCCACAGAAGAACGGAAACTGGGAACTAGGTGGGTTCACTTCTTCTGTATTACTGTTACTGGCGGATCTGCTGACGCTCGTAGTGATGATTGAATCTTGCATAGGGGCTGCCGTCTTCCTTGAAGATGCAGCTCTATACGAAAAGTCCTTGGAGTTATTCTCCAGCCGGGTTCCCGCGTACATCTACCTGACCTCTGATGGGGAGTATCCCGTGCAAGGCCGTGGTCGGATCAATACTACCTCGGAGATTATCAAATACTGGCAGAATCAAAAAACCTTCCCAGTCAGTGGCATCACGCAGGAGACCTGCCGAGATCTTGCCCACACCAGCTTTGGTATCTCATCAATCTCTCACATCGCCGAGACACTGCGTATCCAAGGTATTGATGTGTGGAGATCCACAGACGTGGGTGCGCGTGTTAAGGCGGCCCTCGAGTTACATACTGCCTTGGATTCAAAACAGAAGCCCGTTCCTGAGTGGCTGTGCAATGGCATTATTTCCGACACAATGAATCCAAGTTAGTGTCTATACCATCCTTGAGAATCTGAACTAGCCCGCTAACTTCCGCAGTGTTGGAGCCTGCTTATAATGCACTGGCCTTTAATTTGGGTCATAAAATGCCTTATACTAAGAAGGAGTTATTGAGTCAGCGTCCAGCGGGTATCAGTGAGCCTCCACTATTTATTGGAGTCGAGACACTGACAAATGCCAAAACGCCATTTAAAAATCATTAATTGAAATGACACTCAGTCCTGGTCTACGCTTTGACATTTGGCGAGTCCATGATGATCAGACCCGGAATGAGACATTTGGGGGAGGAAAATGCCTCGGCTGGCTTGGGGGGGGTAGTCCAGATAATTATGCCGAGGATGTTTCCTTAATGGGAAAACCCCGCCGCTGAGGTTGGAAGCCTTGGAATGATGCTTATATATGGATGCAAGTTACGATCCATTAATATAGCTTATCATAACTGTTGTAAAACTCTTGTTGTCTTCAAAACCAACTCCAAAATGCCCCCTACCGTTCACCAAGTCCCCTTCGCCGACCCGCCGTGGCTCAGAGGCGCCCCTTCGCCCTACTTCAACGCGTCACATCGCAGATTCCAGGCTGCTTGTCGCGAATTCGTCGACGAGAACCTCAACAAGAATGCACTGGACTGGGAAACAGCAGAGGAGGTTCCATCCAATTTGTTCGAGGTCTTCGCAAAGGGTAACTTTATCCTGCCGTCTTTACCAGCGCCTTTACCCGTAGAATGGCTTCGAAAGCTAGGCATAACTCACATGCCCGGCCAGGTACCTGTGGAGGAATGGGACACCTTGCATACGATGATATATGCAGATGAGGTATGGCACTGCGCTGGTGCATTATCAATCGCGATGCTGACTGTATTGAACACTAGATGAGCCGCTCCGGCCTTGCTGGACCACCTGGCTCCATCACCACTGGCGTTGCTTTTGGTATCCCCCCTCTGTTGCATTATGCAGACCCTCGGCTACAAGAAAGATTTCTCCCTGATCTCTTAAGCGGGCGAAAGAGAATCTGTATTGCTATCACGGAGCCAGAGTGGGTTCAAGATATCATTCAATGGGAGCTTTGCTGATCACATCTATAGTGCTGGCTCTGACGTCGCCAACATCACCACGACGGCTACTCTGAGTGGCAACGAATATATCATTAACGGGACCAAAAAGTGGATTACCAATGGGATGATGGCAGACTATGCTAGCATGGCAGTCCGAACTGGTGAGGAAAACTCTGGAGGAAAAGGCATTTCTTTAATCTTAGTCCCACTCAAGGACCATCCTGGCGTGACAAGGAGACGACTCAAAGTTGCGGGGCAGATTGTGGCTGGAACTTCCTTCATCGAACTTGATGATGTGAGAGTCCCACGGGAAAACCTGATCGGGCGTGAGAACGAGGGCATGAAGTACATCATGCACAACTTTAACCACGAGCGTATGTTCATCTCTGTTGGTGTCACCCGGCAGGCTCGAGTTGCCTTGAGCAGTGCCTTCGCATATTGTCTTCAGCGCAAGGCATTCAACAAGGTAGGTTCAGAAGATGGAATAGATGGGGTTTACAGCTGACTTAGTCAAGACTCTAATAGAGCAGCCCGTGGTGCGTCACCGACTGGCTAAATGTGGTGCAATCCTGGAATCGCAATGGTCCTGGGTAGAATCATTCGCATACCAGCTTTCCAAGATGCCTAAGGAAACAGCAGACCAAGAGCTCGGTGGTCTGACCGCTCTATGCAAAGCCAACGCTGGCATTGTTCTTGACGAGTGTGCAAGATGCGCTGTTCTATTGTTTGGCGGCAACGGATATACGCGTACGGGCAAGGGTGAAATTGCCGAGAGTAAGTCATTCAGCGGATGCTTTTACACCAAGACAGAGAGCTAATTCGACGACACAGAGATTTATCGAGAAGTTCCCGGAGCCAGGATTCCTGGAGGAAGCGAGGATGTTCTGTTGGACTTGGCGGTTAGGCAATTGACCAAGCAGTTCCGTGCTCAACTGGCCAAAGAGACAACCCAAGCTAAGATTTAACCCAGCTCTCGATGATAAGCTCATGGACCCATCCTGTTCATAGATACTAAAGTAGATGAATGTCGCTCTTGCATTGGATTTCCTATTAAAAAAAGAATATTACATAACCTTGCATATCAAGTATCCCATCGAAGGAGGTAAATACTACAAATGAGGTCCAGAATTCAAACAAAAGAGATTATGCCAGCTATCCATGAGTAGCCGGATCAAACTAATCCCAGCGTAAGTGAGTGGTATGGCTGGGGGTATCTATTTAGTGGTCTAGCTCTAGTTTCCACCTGATGGATATTTTATACTACTTTTCTCCAGGTCCCGTTGGCCTTTAACAACTTCCTCAATATCATCCCAGCTGCCTTCGAGCAACCAGCAAGCTTGCAAGTCCATGCTTCGCAGAGCCTCCGAGTGTCGAGTGGCCAAGGACCTCATCTCCTTTACTGTGAAAGGTTGATTGTATAGGCTCAGAGACCGAAGTCGTGGCCATAAAACGTTGGCAGGCAGGACATCTTCCAAAGAGATAGTCGGCCTCCTATTAAGCCTAGGGTAGCCAATAAACTCAACATGCATATCCTCAAGATGAGGTGCGCTTAAAAAGGACTGAGTGATAGAGCAAAGTGCAAGCATCTCGTGCCTAGGATTCTCCTTAAGCTCAAAACTCCGTGCCTCGAAATCCACATATAATTTTAGCTTCGTACTTTGAGAGACCAGGTTCTTTAGTCCACTCTGCTGCAATAGCGATAGTTTCCAGGCTTGCATACTAGGTGGAGGGACCAAGCGGAGACGAATTATCCTAGGTCTCAGACCTTTGTCTGCAAGTTCAGAGCACAATGTCCCGATCATCTCCACGGGTGGGGTTGCAGTGTGAATTGTCTTGAAAGAGCCACACCACCTCGACTTGCGCAAGATAGGGCTGAAGTGTTGCAGTGTTGCATCATCATATCCAGTATGGGCAAATTCAGCAGCATCCAAGTGCTCCAGGCCTCCATTATTTCTGACATCATTAACCTCCAAGGATACCAGGTTGGATAAGGAACTTAAGGCGGCACATAACCGAGTGATGTGTTTTTGGCCTTCTCGAAGCTGTTGTTGGTCATTGTGCAATGCTTTGTATAAATCGTAGAGCTTGAGGAATAGCCTTTGTGTAGGTGTAGGTGATTCTTCGTCAACTTGGTCACTGAAAAGTTGTTCAAATTCAGGTTCTGTTCTCCAAGCCATATTTGACAGCCACCGAAATTGTTCTTGCGTGTGAGGATATTTACTCCGGTAGTATCTCGATCGTTCCATGGTTTCTACGTGTCGAAGGAGCCTGGCCTTGGCCTCGAGCATGAACAGTGGCCTGTTGCAGGCCAACTCGGTTTCGTAGTAAGACGTGACTATGCTGACGCTTTGCACTGACTTGCTGAAGATGGGATGATGGCAAATATTCTCTAAACGAGTGAAAGATTTCGAGGTAAGGCTAACGGAAACTTCGGTAAGGAGCAATGGCGATGCAGCATTGTTGAAGCAGTGTGAAACCAAGCGACACTCTTTGATTGAGTCTCGGCCATTTCTCTCGTTGCGCACGAAGAAAAGAATGCTCCTAAGAACTTCGGGAGGGAGTGATTGAATGTCTACTGCGGATGACATTTTCGATGTAGTTGCTGGAGTAACATTCAAGCAGAGGGAAACGGATAGATAGAAGACATGACGTCTCTTAAAAGCTGCGGGGTCAGCGATCATCGCCAATTGATACAAAGCATAAGACTCAGTGATTGGTTGCTGTAAGCAGGGGCAAGAGTGGACATGAGTCACTGACCGTTTCGGATCAATAAATGCGGGTTCTTCAAAGGTCTACTAAGAATGCACTGAGATATTATATATGTTTCAAGACCACAGAGTGATATACCTGTGTTACTGTATATTAAGACTCCTTACATATTTTTTATTCTGTGAGCATAACAGACAAACCCATCGTCAGTCTGCATTTTGCGAACCCTTCCAAAGTGACGTCAGACGGTCAGGCATATGATCCCATATTGTATAAATATTGCAATTCTCGTAAATATCTACTAGAAGCCCCCTGCACCTTTCATCTTCATCACCATGCCATAAACACCTTTAACCAAGCCCATGACAGTCCCTGGATTTCCCATGTACCCTTTTCCAGGCTTCCCCTCCGCATCCCTCCAAATGCCATCTTCAGCAACCTTGCCAAACCTCTTTGTGTTCTGGTTTCTATCAATACATTCTCTCCATTTCTGACATATCTCCAAACTGTCAACCATCAGATTAATCTCCTGACTGTGAAACCAGGACTGAGTGTCTTGGTTACCACTTCCTTGTATTCCGACACTGCCATCGACGATCAGAAGCTTGATATGGCAAGACCGAGCTTTGAAAGAGTGATGAATGGGATGGTCTTGATCCTTTCCGACGTAGTTGTATATGTGTAACAGGTTGCGCTCAGGACTATCTTTGGCGAGGGATGAGACGAGGTTTTGGGCGATTTGGTCATTTGTTCCGCCTTGCCCGGGGATCATTTCTCCCGGATCGTTGTAGCCAAAACACACATAGTATGTGACTTCTACTCCTCTCTTCAGCGCTTCCTTGAGGGCTGGAATCAATGGAGCAGCATTGAGGTCCGGCGTCTGAATGAAGATGCTGTGTTTGGCATTCCTGATCAATGATAGCCATGCTTCGTTTTGGGGCACATGAACGCTCTTCGAGTCGATAGCTCCGTATGGCGGTCGAGATACAAGCGCCATCGGAACAGGCTTCCCGTCGCCAATCGTCGAGATGTAAGGGGTCATTTCATCTCCTGCGTCGATCTCAGGTCCCGTGGGCTTGATAGGATGCTCGACTGCAAGGTTGAGCTGACGATTCGCTGCTTGAAGACGCGATTCACCCTCTTTCAGGGCATAACATGACTGCATACGCATGACCTCTCCCTCTATGTCGTTATCGTAGTGAGGGCGATCTGGGAAATGCTCCGGTAGGGGTTGCTCATTATCAGCTTGTATAGTGGTAAAATCTTTTAGATGCGAGGCTTCGTTTTCCCTCGTTGTGGAACTGTCAGTAGAGGTTTGCAAACCACCATCTGTTGCCGGTGTCTGGAGGGATGGAGGTTCTGGGTGAAGGGCATTTTGCCAGGTTATGAGAGCAGTGTCGTATATGCTATCAACTATTGGCCCTTCGACATGGACCATCATCTCCAGGTTATCGTTGTCTTCGGTGTTGTTGCTCATAATGGCAGCGATCTTGCGATCCACAACGCAGAACTTGGCGTGCAGAGTGCCCAAGAATATTCGATGCAGGCTGACTACCTCCAGATCGACATTTGGTATTTCCTCGGGTGAAGGTAAGTCAATCGCCTTTGAGGTGTATGACTTTGGTTTGACAAACTGATGTGGGTTTATAGCGTTACATGGTCCTGGCTTGTCATACATGATCTTAGCAACCACTCGTCTCCCTGTCTTTCCGGCTCGTTTCGAGAGTTCGATCAGAGAATCCTTGATTAGAGCTTGGGCTACTGATGGTGCCCAGGAACATGTGATGAAGAAAACTTCCTTCTCAGCCCGCACGATGAGATTCGAGCAGTGTCGCATGACGTCTGCAAGGGGTGCAATGACTGTGAGTGGCATCGTTCCATGAGAGCCCATCAACGGCGGCGACACGACACCTGCCAGTGGGTCTTCATCGAGGCATTGGAGCGAGTCGGCGAATGCTTGGAGAAACAACGGACTTGGGGTCGTCGGGCCCCAACGACCACAGTGGAGGGCTGCTTCGATGGCATTTTCGCTCTTCTCTGTGTCTTCTTTGGCTGAAATCTTATGATGTAGTCCGTGCTCGTGATGGCCGTATAGCTTCTTGATGGCATTTGCTGGTGTCTGGCTTGGATCATTTGCCAAGACAAAGCTTACTGTTTCTTTTACTTGGCATAAGTCGTAGACGTGTTGCGAAACCATTCTTACCAATAATGATTTTTTAACATGCAAACAAACGGCAGAGTCACTTACTGATGGTCATGGCCTCGTCAGAACTATTTATCAAGCCCAACTGTACAAACGTCATTTAGTCAAGGTTGCACACTCCTCCAAGCTATACTTCCCGTTTCTTACCCAGCTTTGGTTTTATTCCCTGGCTAGTGGAGGTGATATCGCCTAGGCTTACGTACCTTTGCGCAGAATTCCTGATTTAGGTGGCTACGCAGTACCTTGGAAATAGGGCTCTTGGCTATGTGACAGCATGTAACTTCTGCTCCGCCACCAAGGTCTAGCTCAAAGCTAAACCCGGGATTCTGTGCCGAGACTAATTCCGGCACGCAACTTCCGGCCGGGTTAACCGGGAATACAGCGACGAGACAGCTCTTGGTCATGTCATCGCGTTGAATGTCGACATCGGGTTTTGTTACTGGCGGTTGAAATAGCTTCTTGTGTTAGATACTGCATATAATAATACCATTTCGCGATCAAAAAATTACCCGCATACTGTACAGCTTCTACATATTACGTACGTAGACTCAATCTGCTTCATGATTGGCAACTTCAACCTTCGAACCACTTTTCCGCTCTTGAACATTTTAAACACGAAAAAAGAAACGCGCAGATCCAGTCAGCTGTATGGGGCTTGAATAACTGACATGATTCGCTACTGGATAATTTTAGATTGCCGTAGCTTCTTTCATCCGATCACCGCCAATCATCGCGTGTCGCTTGGGGGGAGTGGACTCTTTAGATCGACGAATTCAGTTGGTTTAGTAGCAGACCTACCCGGTAATGCCACTTAAAATGTTGAAATGCAAGCCTTATGTATCGCAAACAATAGAATCCAATACCTGAGACTCTTAAGAGGCAAGTCTTTATCTGCAGGCTTGTCCCTGAGCATAGCATGAACTGTTCCGCTAGTTGATTTAGCGACCCTTGAGAATCTCTATCCAATAATACTTGAATCTTGGGAATTCTCCTCATCCAGACTGTCCAGCTTTCCCGGCGTAATTCAATAAGCCGCAAAAGCCACATTGTTATAATAAAAATAGTTCTTAAACTAGGTCTATATAATTGAAGTCCACAGTGATGTATCCAAGTCCCAAACCATCGGCAGTGGATAAGGCATCGACTGCTCAAAGGCATCCAGATTGAACTCAAACATGTTGTCAGTATAATGTGTCTGGTGACTTTCTTCCTGGTTGTCTTGAAGAGCAGGAGTCACTACATTAATAGACCCAACTGATTGTGCATTTGAAGATTGCACAGCGTAACGAGCCTTTCTGTATAGTTCTTGGCAGACCTTTTGGACTTGAGTCAAGTAGGTATTTCCGTACGCCTCGTCTAGTGTTTTAAAAATCTGCATGACGTCACCAACAGAGTGCATGTCATTTGTCGCAAACTCATTCGTAGGATTCCGAATTGCCATGATACAGAGAATAACAACAGCGCTCATTGGTATTGGAATAATATCCCTTTAGCCAATTAGTCATAAATCAAGGCTCTGATCTGACATAACTTACCACTGAAAGCTCTTCCATGTGACTGGTATGAGCTTGCTTAACTCAATAATGCATCGGGACGCGTTGAGACAATTCTCTATGGAGTCTCTCATCTTTGAAGGGAGGGCTGAAGCTGCTGGGTGATTTGGCGATACCCAGTAAGTTAGGCTGTGTGCGCGGCTCACAACGATGACAGCATTGTAGTAGGAAAAGTACAGCCGCATCAGCCCATGATGCTCGCACCTCGTAGCAGAATCATGAGTAAGAGACGGTGCAAATTCAGCGCGCCAATTCTCCAGCTTTTGGAGTAGGTCCGCCACAGAATCTGCAATGCAATTCGGTGGAGCTTTGCCTGAATGTAGATCTTGATAAATCGCACTCTGTATAACGGCCAGCTGTAACTGACCTTTGAAGAGGTTGAGTTCATGCCCCTCGACGGTCTTGATTATTTCCGTTTCATCCAAGGAACCCATTGGTGGGTCAACATAGGCAGCGTTGAGATCATGACAAGGGGGCCTTCCAGTTCGGAGACACAGTTCCCGGTCTAGACAAATCGCGATCCAAAAGACCTTCTTTCTCATATTTCCTTCTGCTGGACTTACGGACGGATCCTGGCTCTCGACATGTATACCTATTGAGTGCGCAAGACGCACAGCGCAGCCAACGAGCATGAAGCTGGGCTGCGGGTTTGGTGTTCCAATAAAGAACCAGGCAATGGCTAGCAGAGCCTGAACAGAAGACAACTGTGTACTACGCATGAGAACATCCCATGTCCCGGCGAGTGCATTCGATGCATAAGCCCAGGCTAGATCCTCTGCTTCTGCCGATTGAGCTGCCTCCGCCCGACGACGCTGCGCGATTGCAAGTACAGAGTTGAGTGAAACCCACCACGCTGGACTCTCAGTACATGCACCTGAGTACTGTTGGCCTAGTAGACACATGAATACCGGTGCATTGAAGCATGGGAAGACTTGGTGTTCATGAGTGAAGAATTCACTGACGAGGGAGAATGTCTCAGTCCAAGATGGAAGAGGCTTCATGAAACGCTTTGTGAACAAGGGCTCGACAGATGGGTGTGTCCATTTTGACCACGATTCTGGTGTATGCTGTCCTGACTTGCGTGGAGTGGTCGTTGACACCAGGGATATGCCCGAAGGCGGACCTGTCGACATATTGAATAAGCTCATGAATGGCCAAGCGCTTATGCAAACCTACCAAAGTAGCGCATATCTCCATTGCCACCAACTATCGTGTCCCGAGGGCTTGTATCCGTTGCTGTCAAGGTCTGACAGGGGCTTGACTCGGTGAAGCTCTGAAACTCATGGACAACTGCAGAATCTGACAATAAGGATGAAGAAGCCTCGGGTCCTTCAAAACTCTCTACCTCAATTGAGTCACCCGTCGAATTTCGAGATGATATCTTCGATCGTCGTTGACGTGGATCGGGCTTGTCAACATCTGCATAATGGCAGTTATTTCCGCAACCGTGACAACGTCCGCAAACTGGCCGGACTCCATCGCATCGGACTTTGCCTTTCCGACAATGATCGCATGCCTGACACCACGGAATTAATCAATACCTGAGTCCTACTGTGTCATAGCGAATAATAGGTACCTTTGCAAGGCGACGTCTACGGTCGCCGCGGTTGTTCATTTTTCGGAGTTTAGAAAGTCAACATACGAGAATTCCGGCATGAGCGGATGGGATGGAACATGCATTTCACGACCCATGACCACTATAAACTTTAATTGTGATAGGCCTTGTTTTGTGCCGAGGCTCCTGTTAGTGCGCAAAAGTCCGAGACTTTCGTGTCATAGCGCGCTTAAAACTCCGGCCGGACGGGTCCACTAGACGAGACAGTGGGTTACCTGTATGATGTATGTGAATCCCCATTACAGAGGACATGATGTGTGAGATAGCGAGGGCGGGTAAAGAAAATGAGATAATATTCGTTTATGCGAATAGGAAGAGTCCGTCGATAAGAAAAGTCTGGAACGGGCACAGCGCAATACCATAGTGAATTGGATTTCAGACATTGTGTAGATTGATTTATAGAATGCTCCAAGGTCTAGATATGGCTGCGTTGCAAGATAGAGGCAGGCGCTTCAACAACCTTGTCTCTAAAATAATCAATAAAACCCTTTCCGAACCCGTCCAATCGCTTTGAGCTACTGACTCCACGGCCGAGGATACCATATACAACAAAGTGCACAGCAAAGATCTTGGGAAACTCAACGCGCTCAATAGAAAACTCTGGACGCCAGTCTTCTCCCAAAAGATCCTGTACCTTGGCTCGAGACATGTATGAGCGCAGCCAGTCCCACTTGGCTTGCGTGTCAACAAACAAGCCAAAGTTCAAATTGGCCCCCTTGTCTCCAGAACGGCCTAGGGCGATACTGCCCAATCGCACCTCAACAACTCTACCGCCAAGAGCCATTGGTGATTTGGTGTCATAAGACGCCCTTTCTTCCATAATCTCAAACCGGGGAGGAGGTGTAGTCTTGAAAGATTTCGTTGTGCCAGTTCCGTCCACAAAATGGAACTTTTCTTCAAGTTTGGCTTGCTGCCACAGAGCTGGATAATATGCCAGGTATGGACGAGGCATAGCTGAGCGAAAATCTAAAGAGCTGTGAAAACCTACGAACAGGTTAGTGACCCTGACATTATTTCCACTCCCCAGATTGACCGACCTGAGTAATGCTTCAATGAGATGTTTCCAATGGCCATCATAATTGCCTGGAGAGCTTCTGCTTTCGTTGACTGAGCAAAGATGCGGAGATAGACAGTACCGCTGTTTTGGTTGGCAGGGTTCACAGCTGGAACACCAATCCTCTGAAACTCGAGGAAGTCTAGATGACTGAGCTTCTCTTCACCAAGATGAAAACGGACTTGTTTCTCCAGAAGCGCAAACTTTTGTTCAAAATTGTGACCCGTTGCGTTGAACAAAGCCTGCATTTCATAGCCTCCATTGTAAAAGACTGCGAGCTTCGTGGTATCTGGTGGTGGCGCACCGCGAACTCCGTGAACGCGAACTCTTTGATCAAGTTAGCGACGCTCCTAAGACTTGGGACCTTACATACCTGTCTTGGCCAACTTGATCCATCTCAATATCGTCAAGGTAGGCTTTCACATCACTGTTAATGTACACATTGCCCTGTAACTCATACACGAGCTGAGACTTGCATGTATCAACGGTAACCATACCGCCTGTACCCTCATGCTTCGTGATGACACAAGAGCCATCCTGTGCAATCTCAGCAATCGGGAAACCAGGGTCGACAAAGTTCTCAAGATCAAAAGCGTCAAAGCCTGCAAAGTTACCGCCGGTGACATAGGCTGAGCATTCAATCAAGTGTCCCGCGACCAAGGCACCAGCTAGTTCATCGTAGTTGGTGTTGCTCCACGACCACCAGTACCATGCGCAGGCGATGACGGGGCTGGCATCAGAAGCTCGACCGCATATGATGATGTCGGCACCCTGTTGAAATGCTTCATATATGGCGTGAGCGCCGAGATAAGCATTGGCAGACACTATTTCTCGAGGTTCATCGCCACCTTTGGCGAATATGTAAGTCTCAGGAGTGAGAGTGACATGGTCATTCAGAGAATCAAGATGAGCCAATGCCTTTTCTCTGTCTTCCGGCATGTGTTTGCCGAGCTTGGGAAGCACGTTATCACCAGAAACATAGGCTACCTTGAGATCATAACCTTTTTCGGCAACCTGGTAACTGTTTAGCTCAAGGCATCAAGTGAAAAAGCTCCGAAAAGTCCTTACCAAAGCTGCTACTTTCACAGCGAGACCTTCAGGATTAAGTGCTCCGCCGTTGATGGCGACTTTGATACCCTTATCTGCGATGGCGTCGATCGAAAGTTCGAGACCTTTCAATGCAGTAGCCTCGTAACCTGGATGTTGTCCTTTCGCATATGCTTCCGCATTATTGGCCATGTTCACCTCTGATTCTTGTAAGCCACACAGCCCATCCAAGTTCCAAGACCCCAGGCTTACCAGCGAGGTAGTCGCCAGTGATAAAGTCGACATCACCCAACGTAGCCTGTTTGTACATCTCAATGGCGGGATCTCCTATGAGATTATCGGTCAGCAATGTCTCGGTTGTGGGTGACTTGTCTTACCATGGTAACCGGAACAATTAGCCACTCGCACAGGCCTGCTGCCGAACTCTTCAACGCGCCATCCGTTGTTAGATGCCATGATGATTTTGTGTCTCTGAACTACTGGCACGAGGAAGTACGGTGTAGCGTGTTATGTTATATAGACACCAAGTCCTGATCCAGGAGGACAGTTGAGAGGCGTTGAGTATAAGCTATCTTTATATCACCCCGCAATTTCGGAAGTAGTGATTCAAAAGTCCATACCCGAGACAACCGGCATTCAGTACTCCGTAATTGAGTATGCCAGTCACTCGTTCTATGTTTGGTGATGTCATTGTCCCTGTGTAACAGTTGGCCGTGTCCCGAAGTCCGCTACCAGAACTCCGGTAGTGCAAAACTCCGGGAGTCGAACCAAGCCCAAGAACTCCGGAGAGACCCACTAAGCATTGCAAAGACATCATTGACTTGAAAGACAGTGGAAGCAATATTCGGGTTGACTTAGCCGAGAGGATTACTTAAATCCACGGTTGTAGCGTTAGACGTAGCATTGAGAACATCTGTTCCCTTGACCTGCAGCAACCTTGAGTTTATTCCAATCCTTGCAACTACAACATCCCTCCCCGACAGCGCCTCTTATTCGTCGACACCATGTCTAATTACTCTATTTCCACCGAAGCTGCTCGAATTCTAAATAAAGTTCTCCTTCAAGATCCTAGATTACACCTTCCAGACTCTTTCGTCAAAGCCGCCGAGAAAATCAAGTTTGTGGGAGAAGATGATCAACCTTTCATCCTCACACCTCTCAAGATCACGGAGTCGAGCGCGGCCCTCAATGCCCTCGTAGCTACAGCTGCAAATGTGGTCGTAGCCGAGCGCTATGGGATCAACTACCAGAATGTTGAAATCAACACAGATCTTGCAACCCTTTTCCTTGAATCAGTGCTACTACCTACCATTGGCGGCAAGCACTTCATGCAGAGCAGTCAAATGCTAGCAGAGCTTGCCAAGATGGACCTCCATCAGATGAGCAAGCCAATCAGGCGATATGCGACAAATGTTTATCGCACCAAGGATGGAAGATGGTATCATCTGCATGGATCTATGAATGCTCTGCCCACGATGGAGATGTTGGGTGTTGAGGACAGTGACGTTAGCACTGAAGAAGCCTTCAAGATCTATACCGAAAAGGTTGCAGAATGGGATTCCCAGGATATCGAAAAGGTCGCGAACGAGAAGTTCAAGCAAGCTGGTGTGATTTGCTATACGCCTGATGAGTTCTTCGCAAGCGAGCATGGTAAGATCATGTCGGAAGAACCCTTGTGGACATCGACTCGTGTGCCAGCACCGAAGAAGACTTGGCCCGAAGCCAAAGACACTGATCGCTATAGTCCACTTGCTGGCATCAAAGTCTTGGATCTATCTCGTGTCATCGCAGCTCCAGCAGTATCCAAGATCCTCAGTGTTCTTGGCGCCGATGTCATCCGTGTCTCCTGCAGCAGGCTACCAGAGTATTCGGCAACAATGCCGGATCTTCAGACTGGCAAGAGAGACGTTGACATCGATCTCAAGACAATTGAGGGGCGGCAAACACTTTCTGAGCTTATCAAAGATGCTGATGTTCTTGTTGATGGATACCGTCCTGGTGCTTTGGCGAAGCTGGGCTTTGACTCCAAGTCTTTGCGTGAGTTGAGCCCAAGTCTGATTTATATGAGGGAGAATTGCTATGGTTTCAAGGGGCCACTGTCTTACCGGTCGGGGTGGCAGCAGATAAGCGATTGTTTGGTAGGACTGTCATACTTACAGGGCAAGTTCCTTGGTCTCGACGAGGCTGTTGTCCCACTTTTCCGTAAGTTCACTGTGATAGTACATCTCAAGACCTCACTTCTGACATTGCCCTAGCCAACTCAGACTATCAGACCGGATTAGTCGGGGCCGCGGCTGCCATCCAAGCATTATTAGCCCGCACCCAAGAAGACGTCACCTTTGACATCGACATTAGCCTCACGCAGTACAACATCTGGTATTATCGTCTCGGCTCATACTCCGAGGACCAGCAGAAGGCTCTTAGGAATCGTGACCCGCAGTTCAGCCCTCGCCATTACGATGATATGAGTTCGCTCGTTGGAAAGACACATCAGTCGCTGCAGAAGATTCGCCCAGAAATAGTCAAGCATCCTGAGTACTTCTGGGACATGAGCGGCAAGGAATACGGATTGGACGAGGACTTTAAAGTGCTGGCACCTGCATTCAAGTTTGAGAAGTCGAGTATTGGTTGGGATGTTCCGACCGGACGAAGAGGGCGATCGAAGGCCGAGTGGGTATCATAAACCTGGCTGGTGTTGATAGTTGCTGGGATATCACAGGCATCCTTTTGAAACAGTACAGTAGATCGGAAGGCATTCGGGAACCCAACGGCGCTGAGGTGACCGAAAGCCATGCACTTGTGACTCCGTCGGAGCGGTTATCTATCAAGATATAAGACCCGCGGGCCCCGATCAGCATGCCATGACTGTCACGTAGCGGCCTGTCAGTTCGAGACTACACTGATTCTACCAATGACCGTTCATGTTATTACCAATAGTCCTCCGGTTGTGAAACGGAGCCTCGGGCAGGGTCAGGATAATTCATGTGGATCGCCACCTAGACCATGACGCCACTTAAGCCAACCGAGGCTCCGTGTGAAAATGTACAGGTTAGACTCAAAAAGGCAAAGTGAAGACAGAGGCTCTTGAGACGACTTCCTTATGAGTACTAGACTTCAGAGATTGCGGGGTATCAAAGCGCCTCTTATTTGCTCCTCCTCGATTGAGTTAGTCGTTGAGCAAAGTATATCATCAACGTCTCGATCTCATGATCTTTCAGCTCAATCATCAATCAGCTACCAAAGCCAAGGTCAAAATGTCTCAACTCTGGGCCAGCGTAGTCGCTACCTATGATCCCTTTACGATCGAGTTCGTGGGCAGCTGTCTTGTCCAAATCGTCTTCTGGTGGATTCCATCAGCTGTTTTCGTTCTCCTTGATCATGTTGCCCCGTGTTTTGCAGCGAGACACAAGATACAACCGCCACAAAAACAGCCCAAAGCCTCTGAGATATTAGACTCTGTCCTGATATCTTTGAGGAATCAGCTCATGGTCATTGGACTGCAACTATCCCTAGCGTTTCTGGCCACACAGCGGAATATGCCATCGACATTCCAGGTCAAAGCATCACTACCATCTGCAAAGAGTTTCGTTAGCGACTTTACCATCTGCTTAGTTGCTCGAGAGATCCTCTTCTACTATTCCCATCGACTGTTTCACGTACCATACCTCTATCGTCGCATCCACAAAATCCACCACAAGTTCACAGCACCAGTCGCCTTCGCCTCGCAATATGCCCATCCCATCGAGCATATTGTAGCCAACACGATCCCCATTATCCTTCCACCCATACTGATTAGAACTCACATCCTGACCATGTGGGCTTTCGTCGCTTGGCAGCTTATTGAGACTGCGACTGTTCATAGTGGCTTCGACTTCTTTGGAGGTGCAGCTTATCGTCATGACCGTCATCATGAGCGTTTTGACGTTCACTTTGGAGGGATGCCTTGGCTGGACTGGCTTCATAACACCGACGAGCGAAAGAGGCTGGAAAAGAAGAATAAGTGATTCGTTCATGATAGAACTATCTCTCCAAGATCTGCATCTTGGAAGCGAAGGATCAAGCTATGTATATTGCCCATGTCTGATAATTCTCCGGATCGCTGGGAAGGAGTATCTCCAAAAGACCGGTGTGGATTAACGCCACGTTCGAATTGGCTGCAGAACAGATTTGCGAGACACCAATACTCATCTGCGTGAAGGAAGAACCCGAGTCTTCTTCGAGACTCGTTTGTTCCCACGGAGACATAGTTGCTGGGGGTTGAGAATAAGTTGTGACTGGACCAGACCCGAAACCAATTCTTTAGCCCTCGCGTGATAGGCAAGGATCTTGAGCAAGGATCTGGTCCATTCTGGTGATGGTATATGAGATTGTGGAAGGCTGCAATATTTCAGCAAGGCCGTTTTTAGTTTATTTTCGTGCAACTTACCACTAGCAATAGCAAACAAATTCAATGGGCTTATTGTTTCAAAGACCTCCCATCGACCAGTACCAAAGTCCTCGCCCATAATCATGGTAATGGACTGAGACAGCGTGATCTGGCTGCACGCCAGTGACCTCTGTACCGCAGCTTGAGTGCACATGAACCATGTCTCGGCATCTGTAGCATTAAAGTGCTCATCTGCAGCTGCGAGGCCAAATTGTAGTTCATTAATTACCATTCGGGGACTCATATCGTAGAAGATTACGAATGCAGAGTCAAGAAGGAAGGTATATAAGAGGGTACGGATTAACTCCTCTTGTAATCCGAATGATGTCCAGTGGTCGTGGAGGCTGCGTGGAGCAAAGGACGCTTCCTCGCTCGTTGCAGGTATCGCGAAGGGGTACAGGGTGCGGGAAACGAAGACAATGTCAGTAAACCGTGTTCTCCGAGCTCTGAGTCTCATCTTTGTGTCACCCTCCCAGTTCATGAGCAGAAGGATACCATAAGCAGCCTGCAATATGTCAAGGCGCTGGCGAACTTCAGAATCCTGGCTGTCATCGTCTGTTTGAGCAATACTGGCTTCGCTGAAATCCGGGTCCTGGAAGATCCAGCTCTCGGCTGTTTCTAGCCAAATCATTGCTTGATCCCGATGTTTTCGGTCAGGGCTTAAGGAGGCACCGATCAGTGAAAGAGCCACGATTAACTTGGGAGACTTTACAGTGGGGTCAAATGTCGGTCGGTGGAAAACTGGCCAGTTTGGGTGCCAGATTTGGAAGAACAAAGCCAAGAATAAGTCAACATTTCTTGGAGAAAAGAATCGTGAGCAAGATAATTTTCGGGAGTTGGACCAGTTCGATTCCGATGCTTGAGATGATGCGTGAAAGATACCTCTGACAATCTGCTCACATATGTTTGCCAAGGAGTGTTGTCCTGTCAGCCCTTGCTGGGGATGTGGCCTTTGACATGGGCTGGTCCAAGGCGATGCGACTGGGGTTTCAGGAATGGCTAGTGATTCGAGAGAGGTCTGGCTGTCATATTGAAGGAGACCGTAATGAGCCTTCGTGCTGACAAAGATATGATCGCAGTTGAATGAATTGGCCAGACCATGGGACGAAGTAAGTCTGGCAAGAAAGCGGAGACGCATACGAGGAAAGGTCGGCTTTGGCGTCACTAGCAACAGCGATGGGCTATCATGGGAGACAGACCATTCATCTTGAGATAGATATGAGCCAGATTGCGACATCAAACTTGAATTGCCATCCGATTCGGAACCCGGTTGAGTTTGCACAAGTAGGACAGGATCAAATAAGGTGGCCGGCGTCGAGCCCGAAATCCAGTCATGTTGTGATAGAAACAGTGACCCGCCCTGCACCTGAATGTCGTGCCCTGATAGAAGCTCATGCCCTTTGTTGTCTTTTGTCGCTTTCAGCGGAGATATGAAGTCATCCTTCTTTGGTGTCTGAATATAATTGCAATCCTGATTCTGCTCGGCGCAAGCTCTGCAAGGCTGCGATCCCTTGCATCTCCTTTTCAATTTCACGCACCTCTCACAAGCATTTCTTGGCCTCCCTCGCTTCTTCTGGTCCAGGGTTGGAGGCAGTAAACCTGATTTGAGACGGTTGTCACATGTTCTCCAATGACGAAGGAGTGCGTCTCTGATAAGTTTCCTTCAGCTATTGAACCGCGAAGAGGAACAATTGAGTATAGACTAACCGGCGATTGAATCCACGGCTGCAGTATTGGCATTGGTAAGACCTCTGATCTGTGTCTGAGCCTCGTTGCTTCAGTGGTGATACCCTACAGCGAGGAGGTTGCAGCAAGCTTACGCGACAGGTAATGCCGATTGAGGTGGTCTTGATGCAACATTATTAGTGAGCACTACCTCCTGTCAAGCACCTGGGTCTCAAATGGCATACCTGACTTTGTGAACTCGGCAGAGCAGATAGGACAGCAATGTTGCGGCTGATTATCAGACATGGTGTTGACCGAGGTCATCAGAACGGGCTAGGGAACTTAGGCGGCTGTACAAATTGGAAGAAACAAGGAATGCAACCCAGCAAATCCAATGCATGAGAAGTCGCGGGGCACGGAGTCCACAGTCGATGGCAGAGATGAGCCTGAACAAACTGGAGGACTCGATGTGCCCATGCAACTAAAAGCTCGTTATGATGAACACGTGGAGGCGGGAAATCTGCCACCCCCGCAACAGAGATCGGCATCCCGCCTCAACCCCACGATCTAGTCTCGATCGAGATATCGAAACCCCGCAAAAGCACAGCCATTCGGTTTCTAGTGAGAGGCATTTCGGCATTTGTTCGCGGCATCCGGGACTTGGAGGAATGATATCTTACCTGTCGTTAGTCGCACATCTTCCTTGAAATTGTTAGCCTCCGCTGTCTCCGATATTCCACTTAAGCCAGTGACACTTTCCCTTTACATATTACGCTAAGTCACAAAGCCCTAAATTTGCTCTCTGTAACAGCAGGGGATTATGGGAGACGCCGTAGCTGAGGAGCCCTACCATCGGGTAGCTGCTGTAGCAGTAAGTGAAATCGTGCTATCAAGTGTTTGACTTGTCAACGACTAACAGCAACGAAGCGCTCAAATGAAGGCTTCCAGTTCAAGATCAACTCAGTTCCAATTCCGAAACTCCAGCCATGGGAAGTGCTCGTTAAGCTCTCTGCTACTGGTGTCTGCGGCACGGATATGGCCCTTGCAGGTGGTTACCTCGGTCCATGCCGCGAGGTGCTTGGCCATGAGGGCGTGGGCCGCGTTGTACAAGTTGGCTCTGGAGTGGATCCCGACTCTGTCAAGATTGGCAATCGAGTTGGTATTGCTTGGGTGAGAGACGTCTGTGGCCGATGCAATTGCTGTCGTGAGCCTGGAGGTGAGGTCCGTTGTCTGGAACAGCAGAACTCAGGACGGAAGTGGGATGGAACGTTTGCAGAGCACTGCATTGTACCAAGTCGTTATGTGCTGACAGTTCCTGAGTCAAAGGAATTGCCAGATGAACTGGTCGCACCAACATTGTGCGGCGGCGTTACTGCATATAAGGCACTAAAGGCTTGCGGAGCGACACCGGGAGAATGGGTTGCTATAGTCGGAGCTGGCGGTGGCGTTGGGGGTTTGGGGATCCAGTATGCAAAAGCCATGGGATTCCGTGTTGCGGCTGTTGATATTGGGCCTGCAAAGGAGTCATGCATCAAGATGGGAGCCGACGCATACTTTGATGGAGCATCGCCTGATACGCCGGCCGAACTGAGAAAGCTTACCCCTAATGAAGCTGGAGCCAAGGCCGTCATTGTTACTGCAGGGTCGGGTCGAGCGTATCAGAACGCCCTTGATCTTGTTGCAGTGTTTGGTACCCTGGTCTGCGTTGGTATTCCACCACCAGACCAAGCGATGAGTCTTCATCCGCTGACTCTCATTGACCGTGGTATCACCCTTTTGGGAACATTAGTGGGAACACGAACTGAAACACTTGAAGCTCTCGAGTTCGTGCGAAGAGGCGTGGTAAAACCTATTGTGGAGGTGGTGAACTTTGATCAGCTCGACGATCTGGTCAACCAATTCTCCAAGACATCTGGGAAATTGGTCATAAAATTTCTATCATAGGTCTTATTCTCTATTCTTTTATAGCTTCGAGGTTATTATAGAAGTGGATTAGGGGACATTATAGACAGTGAATATCAGTCTATTCCATTAAAGGGAAATAGTTCTTCAATCCTTTTATTGTAGCTTTTGTCACCACTGTTGTCAATGCTCTGCCATGATCTGATATGATCCCAAATCAAAACAAGCAATAAAGAGCAGATTTAACCGAATCGGCCAAAGAACATTTAACACGTTGCAAGCATTGTTCTTTTTAAAGATAAGACACATCCCGAGCAAATCGTTGCCGGCTCACGCCAAAGAAAACTTCTTGAAAGTCCGACATTAGGAGGGGGGCATATGCACATCTCGGACAATTCCCCACCTCCACCTCGATGTCGTGTAACCTAACGTCGGCTGAACGGGAAAATACCCACCACTGTCTAGCTAAGCACCAAGGGTCACAAATACGAAATGCAGGGTGACTTAATACGGGGATTTCTATTTAAGACCTGCTCGAGGAGCGCTTAGGCTGACTTACTCTGAGCTTGCCGATTCTTCACGTAATATACTATTACCATCAGAATGACTACTGTTGATCCCCTTGTTCTGCCTCCTGGCATCGCACCATCTGTTTTCCACCAATTCATATCAGAAGTCACCGAAGTTACAACCGCTGAGAATGTTGTCATCATATCCAACCCTGGACAGTTGGACAAGCAGGACTACCGCGACCCCAGCAAGATGCACGACATGTTTGACATAACCTCGAAGCAGCATTTTGTTTCCTCAGCTGTAGTCACTCCCCGCGACGTAGCAGAGGTTCAAGCCATCGTCAAACTGTGCAACAAGTTTGAGATTCCCCTTTGGCCATTCTCCATTGGCCGAAATGTTGGGTATGGTGGCGCTGCTCCACGTGTACCAGGCTCTATTGGTCTTGATCTTGGCAAACATATGAACAAGATCTTGAAGGTCGATGTTGATGGGGCATATGCTCTTGTTGAGCCTGGAGTTACATATGCAGATCTTCACCAGTACTTGGTAGACAACAACCTTCGTGACAAGCTGTGGATTGATGTTCCTGATCTTGGCGGTGGATCCGTGCTTGGAAACACTACGGAGAGGGGAGTTGGCTATACTCCGTATGGTGAGCCATCTTCATCGTTTGTAGCGACCAAGCATTGACGGCCTCTAGGTGATCACTTTATGATGCACTGCGGCATGGAAGGTAAGAGCTCTGCTACAGCGACCTTATTGGAAGGGATGCTTATGACTGACTGTCCAAAGTTGTACTTCCCGATGGCACACTAGTCCGTACGGGAATGGGTGCTTTACCAAACCCAGATGCGGATCCAAATGCGCCTCCACACGAGCAGGAGCCCAACTCGGCCTGGCAACTGTTCAATTACGGCTTCGGTCCCTATAACGACGGCATTTTTACGCAATCGTCTCTTGGTATTGTTGTCAAGATGGGTATCTGGCTCATGGTGAACCCTGGTGGCTATCAGTCATACTTGATCACCATTCCCAAAGATGATGATCTCCATCAGGCCATTGAGATCATTCGACCACTTCGGACTTCAATGGTGCTGCAAAATGTTCCCACTGTTAGACATGTACTTCTGGATGCAGCTGTTATGGTATAAGGCCAGATTAAACTTGAATCCCTCGAGCGCAGCTGACGATAACTAAAGGGATCTCGAGACAAGTACACGACTTCGAAAAAGCCGCTCAACGATAAGGAACTCGATGACATCGCGAACAAGCTCAACTTGGGTCGCTGGAATTTCTACGGAGCGCTCTATGGCCCTGAACCTATCCGGAAGGTTATGTGGGAAGTTGTCAAGGGTGCCTTTTCAGCCATCCCCGGGGCCAAGTTCTACTTCCCGGAGGATATGCCAGACAATGTTGTCTTGCAGACTCGAGATCTTACCTTGCAGGGAATTCCCACCATGACTGAGCTTGAATGGGTGTAAGTTCTACATGTCACCTGATATCATTTTTGACATATTAACCTCGCCTTGACAGCAACTGGCTGCCCAATGGAGCTCACCTGTTCTTCTCCCCCATCGCCAAAGTCACGGGCGACGACGCGGTCGCTCAGTATGCCTTAACCCGCAAGCGCTGCGAAGAAGCAGGTTTCGATTTTATCGGAACATTTGCAGTCGGAATGAGGGAGATGCATCACATAGTGTGTCTTGTCTTTGACCGTCTCGATCCAGAGTCATGCCGTCGAGCGCACGGCCTCATCAGTCAGCTAATCGATGACGCGGCGAAGAAGGGCTGGGGAGAGTATCGCACTCATTTAGCATTGATGGATCAGATTGCACAGACTTACAACTTCAATGGTAATGCACAGATGCATCTCAATACTACAATGAAGAATGCACTCGATCCCAAGGGAATTTTAGCGCCTGGTAAGAACGGTATATGGCCAAAGAGTTATAATGTAGAGGACTTTGCCTTAGGCCCTCAGCGTTCTACAAAGCTATAATTCAATATATATCATGAGTCGCATTCGTATGAAAAACATGATAGATTCATTGCCATGTCTAAATATTCCCGTGCGGAGTAGTCAGCTCTAGGAGGAGGACAAACCATTGACTTGCCGACGGCTGTTTCGTTCTCGACATCATGGCGCAGCCAAAAGGCAGCCCGACTAGGGATATGGCCGACTTTGGCGACGACTGGCTTCTCTGGTGATAATTAGCGCTTTAGTGGAGACGGCGATCCATTTGAGTCGTTCTCAGATATCTTGCTTGCTGCCCGGTCTTGGTTCGGGGCTTCTGCATCTTTATTCCAAATGATCTGATTACTATCTGTATCCATACGCCGCATTATATTGAATCTCTCTAGCTCGTACTGCCCTACGTGAGGATCCCCCCAATTGCGAAAGTATCGGGTATGGACGAGCCGCAACAAGAGTTAATCTCTTATACCCTAACTAGTTTGGACCGAGAGACGGTCAATGGCAGCCTCCAGACGCGAAGCTAAAATCTAACACAATGTTTGAACTTGTTCCGGTATACCCAGCATCTAAGAGAGCTGTGCATCCGTCCCAAGGTATCAAACCGAGAGCATAGAATCAGCCAATCTCCGGCCTCTCGAACAAGAGCTACTGTGACACATCAGCTGTGACACATTTCTCGCTCCTCGTTACATTGTGAGAAACACCATCATCTGGACGTCCCTGGTTCTCGGGCAGTCCTTCAAGAATCACTCTTGTTTCAGCAGCTGTTTTGCCTTTAGACTTAAACAAGAATCTGAAAAAAGCGATGATGCTATGCCGGCCTTCCCACAACGGTAAAAGGGTAATGGTTGACGCTGCATAGAATGCCCAAAGAAACAAAACGACAACCCAGCCTTTGAAAAAGCCTTTGCTGAACACGTAGCCAGTGCCATACCTGTATAAAAGTATTAGTCGCAATTCTCTTCCCACAAACCCGGAATTTAAGTGAAAAAGGAAACCGCTAACATACATTGGAATCGGCCATAGGAGGAGGTAGACTAAAGTAAGGGACACCGATGCCCATATGGCCTTCGTTCGAGCTCTAAGAAGCATTGCATTTTCAGCCTTCATCTGAGCATCTGAATTGGTCGTCATAGTTTCCTCTGCCTCTAAATTAGTGTGAGTTGATGACTCCATGATGCCACTGGTTCCCTCGTCGGCGTCATCCGCTTGCTTGATTTCCTTAAGTAGATTCCAGTCGTAGTTTTGGGGTTTGATGTAGCTCAAAAGAGGTGTTAACACAATGGGGCCAGCGAAGGAGGTCATGTTGCCAGCGACTAAAGCGAGATTTCCCGATAACGTTGTTATGGAAATATAGCCACTTTCATGCTTGGCAACCATAAACCAGGCGATAATTGCTGCAGCGGACGAAATAAGCGGGGCTCCGACAGCCGCGAGAAGTCCCTGTTTGCCCCAGAATATGGTACAAGCTTGAGGGATGAAAGCGGACGCAACAAAAACGCCGACTGCTGTGATACTAGATTCAACTGGTTAGCCAAACCATATGAAACAAGCTTCAGATCTCGCTACCAAGCTTACATGAATGAGACGTTGAAACCTGCGTGGTTGAGACCCACAGCCACGCTGGCTACAAAGAGGCCAAACACTGGAACAATACAGTGCCCGAAGCGAACAAGCTGTTTGCCTGTGGCTTTTGGATTGATATAAGCTTGGTAAACGTCATATGTCATCAAGGCAGTAACCGCCATTGTTTCCGAAGACAGAGCAGATGTGACAGCCATGAAAACCATTAGCAAGATCGCCATAGCACCACCCTTGCCCATGACTGCCAAAGCTGCATAAGGCATAGCCATCCCAGATGCCACTTCAAAGGCGTTCATTGGATGGGGGTAGGTAGGAAAGACTGGGAGCTGCTCGACTGCAGCGGCGAGAAGGCCATATGTCGTAGCAAGGCAGAAAGGGATGGTGAACCAGGCCGAACCACCGAGTAGATAGCCCATTAGGGTGGATCCTGGGTTAGCGGCGATGGCCTTCTGAGACAGCTGAGGGTCAACAGATCCAGCAAAGCCGGCACCTAGGATGATGAGTCCGAAAAAGCCCCCTTCTACGCTTTTCATGGTAAGGTAAGATCCCTCTGCGTTTCCCGCTACCGGGTGTAGCTTTTGTGCGTTTTGTAGAAGATCGAACATGGCGTCGGAAGATCCCACAACATTTGACGTGGCGAAGACGACAAAAAGGGACATGATCATGATGATGTATATGACCACTGTGTGCACCTAAACCTTTTTGTCAGACTGAAAATATATTACTCCCGCTGAAACAAAGGGAAGACGTACCCAATCGGTTAGAAACGTAGCTTTGATACCGCCCTGCTTGATTGTCAGCTTACACAATAACTGAGATCAGAACTAGCTACATACCGCAAGAGAATATATCACAACACCAATCGGGAAGAGAAAACAAGCCGCGTCTCTGTTCATCCCAGTCAAAGCTGCATACACAGCTGAGCCTCCTACAAGCAAGTTGATTGTGTTTACACACAGAAAGAAAAGCGAATAGAAGGCAAGAGTGAGATGGCCGACTGGTCCATATCGTTTCCTGGTAAATTCCAACAGGGTATGACAATTGGGGGCTTTCCGCTTGATTTCGATTGCGCCAACGGAGTACAGCAAGATCTGTACAGTAGCTCCAGCCCCATACTATTAGACTGTTAGAATTGTCGCTAAAGTTGGACCGGAGTACAACCCACCCAGAATGGCCCCGATATGCCTTGCGTATACCCTACTGTGCTTGAAGTAAGCAGAGTTGCAGCAATGGTCCATGATGATACCACTGCAGAGGCTGTCAAGCCAGTTTTCACCTTAGACAATTAGTTTAGTCTGGCATGAGCATGTCAAGGATAGAGTAAAGCGTTTACTTACAGATCTTTTTCCTGTCATAAACATCTCTGAAGTTTGGCGTTCGGCGAAGAAGCGACTTAATCCCCATGAAACGATACTCATTCCGATTGTAAATAAAGAACCGATACCAAGTATAAGGGCATAGCCTACACCCTGGCTAAAGGGGGGGTCGATTTGAAGGCCAGACATTGCTGGAGTATGTTATATCAAAGGCAACAGAGAGGGCTTCAAACTTCTGGGTTGAATCTTGAAATAAAAAATGACAGATAGACGAATACATATGCGAGTGCCTTGAGCTAGAGTGAAAGGCGTTTACTCTTCGTACTATTAAAGCAGTATAGCATTGACATTCCATTATTGCATCTTTATACTCTTTCGAGATGATTCATGATAACAGATTACTGAATTGTATCTATCTTCTTCCCCTTTCGTTCAAGATAAGGATCAAGTCAAGCCGCGTTTATCAACTACAAGAATACCGAGTTTTGTCCATCCCTTTCTTTTGAAAGTCCTCAAGCTTGCAGAAGTCTAAATGCTGGGCTGCAGATAACGAATTCCGCTTATGTTAAGGATAAAGATACCGTAGGGCTCAGATTGGCGCATTCTCCCATACAATATATATTTCCTAGCCATTTCAGGCTAGATAGATTGCCCCCCAGTGTAAATCAGAGCGATAAGCGCGGTGAAACTTAGCTAGGTTCTAGGAATGTTAAGGTAGATATTCTCTGAGGGGTATGTCGTGAATATTATAATATTTAGGCACTTTAGATATAGCTGTTTATAGTAACTATCTCGATAGGATTTAAGGAGAATGGAGTCTCTACAGTGCGCTATAATGTTTTATCTAATCTTTACAATTAGTCAATTTTAATTTAAATATTTCATATAGTGTATTTGCCTGCTTTCTGTCTACACTTCAAGTAAACAGCCTGTAACTCAATACAATAAGTAAATCAATTCTATATCGTTACCAAGACGAGATTGGCAATAGGAGATGCGGCTATGAAGTATAGGTTATAACAAATCTACCAATATCGTGTATTGCCCGTTCGGCCGCTGCCATTCGGCTGGCAAAGATCTGGAAAACATGGATCTGACGTTCGTAAATCTGAAACTCAACCATGACATCGGCAGCTTTTGCCTTATCAACAAGCCGGAGCGCGTCGTCGAGCAAAGTCTCGTGGCCTCCAACAGTGACAAAGAGTGGCGGAAGCCCAGTGAAGTCCGCATAAAGAGAGGATGCAAGCGGGTTTCGCCGATCGTCCCCAAGATACAACTGCGCACAGCCATCCAGAACAGCCTTATGACACATGGGTTCGACGTGATCCAAAGTTTCCATCGTCCCTCCTGTGTGCTCCAAATCAACCCAAGGGGAAATAGGCACGGCACAAGCCGGCAGTGGGTCGCCAGCATCCTTTGCTGTAAATATCACAGATAGAGCCAGAGCAGCACCAGCAGAGTCGCCAGCTACTGCAACACGACCAGGGTCTATGCCCTGGCTTAGAACCCAGCGGTATGCGTAAACAGCATCATCCACAGCAGCTGGGAAGGGATTCTCTGGCGCCAGCCGATAGTCCACAACCAGTACGCGTGCTTTGGCTGAGCGTGAGAGACGTTCGCAGAAGTCGCGATATGAATTGACGGAGCCGATGACATAGCCCCCGCCGTGCAAGTAGACGATATAACGATCATGCTTAGCCTCCGAGGCCGTGATCAGCTCGCCTTGAAACTCCGGGGTTGCTATTTTCTCCGTCGTTGATTTAACAACTGGCATCGTGCCGTGAAACAGACTCTCCCAGCCAGCTCTCATTTCCTCCACTGATGTGTCTGCAGTGAAGCTGTCGAAAACTGACTTGACGTGCTTTACGAGGTTCTCAAGCTCTTGGTCGTCGTTCAAGACACCGTTTTCTGATGGTTTGCTTGACTCCGGAGCCATGGTAATAAGCTTTGTATGTGGTAGCTAGTAGATGCTGGCTGTTGGAATCGATAGTGTTTATGGTGAGACGCCTCCTTGCCTGGGAGATCGGATAGTTACGTCCTTCTAACTACTGAAATAAACGAGAGGATATTCAAGGTATATATATTAGCTAATTTCGAACTAGCTCGAGGCTATGGATGTCAACCGAGGCGATACGAGCGGCCCAAGAGGCACCAGACTCAACCTTGCCTCACTCAGCCAAACTTTAGACACTACTTACTATAGCCACTAACATCTTCAAAGGTTACTTCCAATATTCTGATACCTAGATCCACAAACCGGAGTTGTGGCTTCTGGAAGGCGTCAGATAGAGCTGCTAAGCCCTCGGGGGAGTTAATTGTCCAGGATTCAGGGATGCGACCAATACCCATCAACACTCAACAGCTGCTGTGTCACGTATAAGAAATCTACCAGTTTAGGCTAGAGGGATCCCTGCAAAACGATATGCAGCACTAGCTGGCACCTACTATGAAGTAAGATGAGCTACCAGCTGGACCAAATACCGCGCTTATCGTGAGTGGCTCTTTATATGAACCCATGCGCGCCCTTATCATCCACTCTAATTTAGGGTCCAAGTCCTGGGTAGATGGGCACCGCGCTTATCACGAGCGGATCTCGGTCCGAAGCCGTACCCACCCTTATCCTTATCGACAAACGCTGTGGAGCTAGAAGTGTTAGCAGTCCTCGAAATCTTGTATGCATTTACTGATCTATCTCTGAACATCAGGCTCCTTTCTAGGAACCTTGTGGTCCTTATGATGTGAGCGTTAGAAAATGGTTATGCGGCCGCCATATTCTATTTATCAGCTTGTCAGGGTATTTAAGATATTTCTAAATAATTAAAGACTGTTAGAGTTTTAGTTGTAAAGTCTACTAGCTCAAACTTGATCATATAGATCTCCGCCATTGGATTTCCAATCTTTCCCATACAATGCCTTTCGCGGATCCTCCAAATCCAGCCAGCCTAGAAATGGGTTACTGAGGTTATACCCGATGAGCTTCTGCAGATATTCTGGGTATTCGCGAATCTTCTCTAAAGGACTTGCAAGATATTGATTCTCCTCCTACAGAGCCCAGCGTGTCAGCTCCACGGACGATACACATAACAGAGTTGTTGTTTACGAGAGAGCTTATGAGAATGGGCACTGACCTGTCGTAAAAACCCCTTTGTCATGAAGCAACTGTATAGCAGTCTCTCCTCGTTGTGGGTTGTGTTGGCCGAACCTCCATGAAAGCAGCTGGATAGCACTATAAAAGCATCACCAGGGTTGAGTTCAGCATAATAGACTAGGTCCTCATTTGGTGGCTCCAATGAGTCCCAAAGATGACTACCTGGGATGAAACGAGTTGCCCCATTCGCCTTGGTACTTTTCTTCCCCGCGACAAAGAGTCCGATGCCAGTGTCGCGGCCAACTTTGTATTCCTTGGGACTGATGGCAGTCAGGTAATTGTGGTGAATCATGTCGTCTCGGTGGAGTTCCTGGTTCTTGGCTCCCGGGCCGATGGAAAAAACCATTGTATTGTTCAGTTGCGGGGTTGATGTAGATATCTCAAGCTTCTGTCCAAGATATGATATGAATCTAGATGTAAGCAGCTTGTTGCATACGGACTGGTAAAGAGGATCGGCAACAATGTGATGCATAAATTCGGTAGATTTGCCCGCTAGGCCGTAGACGCGACGTGTCTCTGGAGGGAAGAAGTCGCCTTGCCATGGCTTATCAGCCTCCAAGTAGGGACGCACATCTTTCTCGATGACTGCTAGAGCTGATTCAGAAAGCAAGCCGCGGATAACAACACCACCACTCGAAATTAACGACTGGACAACCTTGTCGGTATTGAAGGGATCCGAGCTGAACTGGTCAACTGGAGGCAGATTTTCGCGTGTTCGGAGAGTCATGGTTAAGGCGAGAATCAATTGTTTAGAGTGAAATGAATGGCCTGGAACTCTTTCTGGTTCAACAAGCTTGCATATTTCCACAGTCTACGGATAGCCACGAAGTACTTGTTATATATATGCACTTACTATACCTTCCCATTCCGTTTGACATTACAGGATCGTCGAGTTTGTCACTCGTAATCGCAATCACAATCTCATAGAGGTAAAAATAAGCGGCCGTGTTTCCAGTGGGTGGATATCTAGGTCAACTTTACGCGTGGTTGACAAAGAACTTGGATATGCAATATAGCTGCCCATTGCCGAATTGAGCTGATAAGGGCGCGGTACCTTCTGATTGGCTCAAGAGCTCTGCCTTTAAGCCACAGAATTCGGATCCCTTATCATTGGCCCCGTATCTAGGAGTAGACTAACATTCATCGTTATCTGTTTATCATCACCGAGTTGGGAATGACAAGCCCGACTAGCACATGTACAGACGTGTTGGGTCCCCTATACTCCGTACAATCGGCACTTGACGGAAAACGAAAGCTTCTGCACAAAACGACCAACCAGCGTTACATGATTACGGAGGAATAAGGAGCACGAGCACTACTACATAGCTGAAGTTGAATTAGCATCCATCCTTCCCTCCCCACTTCCCCACTTCACCAAGACACATCCCCAGGTTCAAGAAGCAGCTGTAATTTCCCCGCCTTTCCTGTGATTATGCCAAGGGGTTGATCGCCAAATAAATCTACCATGTCTACACCGTTCGCAGCATCCCAATATTCCGCGATGACGTCCAGGGCTTCAGTTGCGCCCACAGTTGGATGCGTCACTTGCAGGTATTAAAGCCTTAATCTTCTGTGCTCTGTCTAGCACCGCGGAGGGCAAAAGCTAATGCTTGCCCACAGGCACCGGCGAAAGAAATGCGATCAGAGAAAGCCAACTTGCAAGGCGTGCGAACGAAACATTCTCATCTGCGTCTATCCTCAAAATGCCGTGGGTGACGCTGGCCCGTCGCACAAAACGACTGCAGCCGAGTTGCAGGAATCGCGAACGAGTCTTGTAAAGACTTCTCCGTCATCACATATACTCTCGTCCTCCCGAGGAAACGAGGATCGTCGCAACTCACTACAACAGCTGCGTCGTACGCCAAACCAAATCTTGTCTTTGACGAGGCCTGAGTCGAGCTTCCTGCATGATCACTATCTGAATCGTACCGCCCGCATGCTATCAGCAACATACACGGGACAAAATCCATTTGTAAAAGTCCTGTTGCCGCTGGCTGCCTGGTCAGACATGATCTTACAAGGTGTGCTTGCTCTCAGTGGTGTCCATTTTGAAAGCCAAAAGCCAGCCAACCATCTGGTAGCAACGTATGAGCACTTGGCTCAAGCGCTCCGCGGTCTCAAGTATGGTCTTACGAGGTTTGTGTCTGGACAGACCGATTTAGCGTTGGAACTGTTGGTCACGACGCTCCTGTTCTGCTTCATTGAGGTACCGCAAACCTCCAAGATAAGAAGCCATGATTCTAATTGGAAAATAGTGTGTCAGAGGTGATACGGACGGGAATGCCTTTCTCCATCTGAATGCGGCTCGCCATCTCTTCCCGTCCATCTTGCAAGACATGGCACTTACAAAAACTGAACCGGAGACCATATCCTTCCTACTTGAATATTATACCTACATCCTGAGCCTTTCTTCGTTCAGTCTGCCCTCGAATCCAGACGCTTTTCTTGCCAACGACGTTGAGCTTGCATTCGAAGCTGTTTCCAGATTTGAGAAACCCATGACAGGAATGCTATTGGGCTGTGCCCATGAATTATTTACAGTAATTCCATATGCAATGACGGGACCCGATGACGGCGATTTTGAGACGTCTCAATTCTGCCATATTGATGCCTCTACACTACGGCAAAAGGTGTTGTCGTGGAGCCCACCACAGAAATACTCACAAAATTGGATCGCAGCTGGAAGGCTTTACCAATTGGCTATCCTCCTTCTTCTAGAGGATCGCATAAGAAATCCTGAGAGCTACCGTGTGGAGGAAACATCACATACATATATCTGTGATTTTGTCACGTTACTGCAAACCATCACTGTGGGCTCGACGATTACGACAACGCTATGTTGGCCGCTTGCGGTGGCAGGGTCTTATGCATATACGACTGAGCATCAGCGAGTAATTAACCAGTATTTGACAGAAATGATTGCTAATTATGGATTCGGTAACCTCTCGCAGCTGCAAAGTTTACTGCATAATGTTTGGGATAACAGTAGCAGGGAAAGCGAAAAGACAGATACCTTATTGGCAACTATGAAGAAGCAAGGATTAACCAGGATTCTACTTGCATGACAAGTATAATAATAAGAAATGTTTTGGATAAACAATCAAAGCACTTAAAGAGCTCCCCATTCCATACTCAAGATCATGCTATAACTCTCCGCGATTACTGAATGATTCGTAATGGCCCTCAAGTTTCTGGAAGCAGACCTGGACACCGGCAAGATTCAAGTGGGAGCGGCACACATGGAGCGCACTCCTCTAAGTCCAGCTACGATGAAATAATATTGACCTGGTACAATGCCAGCTGCTATACAGGACACCTCTCTGTCCTCGGCTTCAACCTTGAAGTAGCAGGCATTTCCCGCATTGATATGATCACGGGATGCAAATCTGTTTCAGGTCTAGAGGGCTTCGGTACATGCTTGACTCCAGCTTCAGATTGTGTGACGAAAGGTAATTGGATGTATTGATTTCACTACTACTTTATCACCTCTGGAACATCTCGGTCTTGGAACACCAAACAGCTAGCTTATCGGTCTCCCCTCCTCCCAGCAATTCCGACAAGGAGAGGTTCAAAAGATAGACATGTGAGCGGCCGCACGATATTTTCATCATCATTGCCGAAGCCGTTCTGCCGAACAGCCGGGATACGCACGCACTAGGCTCCTATAGTGAGGGATAGGCTTTGAGGGGCCTCCAGACTTGACTAATCTAAGCACAAAGCATACTAGCGTGGCGCGCTTATCGGGGTAATTAATATCCAGCAAATTACCCTACATACATAGTTCAGCCCAACCTTGCTAGTCTCCCCACAATCGTATTCAGTCGGGAGATTCCAAGCTAAGAGACAGAAGACAAAGTAGACCTTCGAAGCATGGTAGCACAGGCAGTTGTTGAGCGATAACGAGGGGGTCTTGGTGAACAAAGTCGATAGCCCCAGGTCGGTTCAGTCCAGAAGTTCCAACTCAAAGGACTGGGCTCGTATCAAGCGAATGTATCGTCTACCTACGCAAAACCATCACTCGTAAGACCAACGTAATATCAAGCATGTGTATTAATTACCTACGCAAGGTTGAAGGACTAGGGTACAATCAAGCATCCTACGCAAGGCCAACATAGCCAAGAAGACCTTTCAGCATGCCGCCTGTACGCGAGCTAAACTCTGGGTGATGATCGTAAGCCAAGAAGCCAGTCCCGTCATAACAACCGATGTACTCGGCCTCAATGTCTTGGGACTTTACTACCCCGCAGTCCACCCACACAAGCATTTTACCATGCCCCATACATCCCTTAGGCTCATACGCGTCCATGAAATCCCGTCGCAGAGCCACATGAGATTTCTCCCTACGCCCAGCACGCTCCATGTATCTGAATTCCAGAAAGAAGAAGATCTCCACGCAACGATTGTGGTCCAATGCGGGGAAGATGTCTGGCTCGTCAGTGCCATAGCTGGCCTCTATCTTGGTCTTTCCGCTATCTGGGACGTGGCATAAGCGAGCTGACAGCATCCCAGCATCTGGGCCGGACCGCACAACATTCGTGATGAAACGTTTGGTGTTTCTGTGGAACTTTTCCGACCACAGTTTAGTCTCATCGTCTGGCATGGCAGTGCGATCTTGACCCTCAATGACGTAGCAAATGTTGTCTGGAAACTTTGTCATCTTGACACGGCCTCGGCGTATATCTCCGGTGGGTACTTTGGGTTCTGGCACTCCATCTATCGATGAAGCAAGGATATCACGGTTTGTCGATTCCTGCAGACGGTCGCGCAAAGCGCCCCAGTATCCCGTCTTCTCAGTCAATGGCTCCAATGGGCCGAGGTGACCAACACCTGATGGGATATCCTGAGACATCTCCGTCACAAATCTCTTGGACGAGAAACGCATGCTCTCTCTCCAGAAGCCGGCATCCTCGGGGAGGGAGGCCCAGAACTGTGTAGTCTCAGGCGACTGCCACCACTTTCGAAAGTCTTCGGGTGCTTTCCAATAACTGATCCAGACGCGCGAAATTCCCAACCCGCGCTCTGTATCGTCGTGATAGAGATCCTCAACGAATACTGCGGATTCCTTGAGCATGGGTTCGAACTTCTGTATCAAAACAGCCTTGGCCTCAGAGGGAGCAGTGCCATGATACTGAACTCCAAAGGTGGAGATGCTGAAGAAGTCAGGGAGTTGAGGAACGAGCAAAGGCATAATGACAGTTTGTAGATAGAATTTGAGTGTATAATGTTCGGTAGGATCAAGTATAAACTTCAAGGTATAATATTCGGCACAGTGTTGTACTTAATAAGAGGTAGTGGAGAGATATATATCCCACCTCGAATTACGAATGAAGTCATGATGGCTACTTGCCAATACTTACTATCGTAAGGTATCGAGATAACGAATAGGCAATAGTGTAATAGCCATGATCCAATTGGCAGTTGATGGAGAGACTGATCTTTACTAGCATGCGCGCTTATCTGTAGTGATGTTATCGTTCGTGCGCGTTTATCAGTTCAGCACTAGCAAATCCCGATACGCTGGCTCTGATGTTACATAGTTTGACTGATGGCAACTGGACACAAGAGCTTCAGGTCTCGGAACTAGCGTGAGAGTTGGAGCTAATAATTAAATACATCGGCAAGCATTCCTCGTTATCTGCCTAGTTATATTAGCTTTGATACGCGCTTATCAGTTAAGCACTAACAATTTCCAATACACTGGCTCTAATATCATAATCTCTTCCCCAGTGAAGATGTGAGGTCGATCATGATAAGAGCGATGTTGCCTGCTATTGGACTACAACGAGCGTATAGGAGATGCAAAAATGGACCTGGGGATGAAACATATAAGGTCTTGGCACTTCCTTGGCACTTTGTTGGCTAATTCTAGCGTTTTAGACTTATCAATCATCAATATTATTATCATTTAGATCTCTCCAAGCAACCAAGAACTCACAATGGAGGATACTGAGACCGCATCTGTATCCAACATGTCGCCACACCCCCAAAAGCTGGTCGATCGAGTCACGCAAGACCTGTCTCCTGATGAGCTCTTGCTCCGTGCGCAGGGACATCATGGCGAACTACCACGCCAATTCTCCAGCTTTGCGGCCTTGTCACTAGCCTTTGTCATTACTAATTCCTGGCTTGGGTATTGTGCTAGTTTTGCTGTCCCTCTTCTAGCAGGCGGAGGGCCGGGAGTCTTTTGGGGAGTCATAGTCGCTGCAGTAGCTTGCCTGATAATCAGTGAGTTAGACCAGCCAATTTTTCCCTTTCTTTTTTATGAAGAGGGGTGGAGCTAATCATTCTTGTTTCAGCCGCTGGTCTCGCCGAATTGGCCTCGGCATATCCTTCTAGTGGTGGACAGTACCATTTCGCATTCATGGTATCATCTGCTAAGAGCCGAGCAATTGCTGCATTTATCACTGGCTGGCTCAGTACGTTGGCATGGTGCCTTACTACAACATCTGCGGCTATATACTGTGGTATGACTCCTTCTCTATCTCTTGGCTGCACGGGATTCTAATTACATAAACAGCTGAGATTGCCCTGGCTCTGGCATCGCTGTTCCATCCTAGCTACGTACCAACGCAATGGCAAACGTACTTGATCTATCTGCTGCTTCTTATACTTGCAGGCCTGCTTGTATGCTTCGCCTCTCGTTTGCTGCCAAGTCTAGAGAAGTTCTTCTTTTGGTGCAGTTTACTAGCTTTTGTTGTCATGTTTGTTACCATGCTGGTTGCAAGCGGAAAGAAACAATCAGCAGAAGTTGTATTTGCCAGATATAGCAACGAGACTGGCTGGAGTGACGGGATGTCTTTCATTATCGCTGTCGGATCATGTATGTACGCTTTCTTGGGTACTGATTCAGTTTCGCATATTTCAGAGGTAAGATAGCCAAGACCGTCTCCTTCTTGTTGAAAGGCAAATCACTGACTCCAAGTCGATAGGAGGTACCCCGTCCAGGTTATCACGTCCCTCGAGTTATGTGTTGGACTGTCCTCATAGGCCTGGGCACTACAATCCCCTTTTTCCTCGCGCTGCTATTTTCAGTCCACGATCTCAACGCAGTCGCAAGCTCTGGGCTCCCTATCATGGAAGTTTTCTACCAAGCTACAGGCAATCGTCGGGATGCTTGTACTGTTCTTACAGTTTGGGTGTTGTTCAACTTCTTCGGAGTTACTGTATCCTGCCTCGCAACTGCAGGACGTCTTACCTGGGCATTCGCTCGGGATAATGGTCTTCCCTACTCCAAGATCTTCGCAAGCGTCAACTCCAAGTATTTGACTCCAATCAACGCCACGGCCATCTGCGGCCTCTTTTGCAGCCTCTACGGGTTGATTTATATTGGATCGACTGCGGCCTTCAACAGCATTATATCCATGGCGATCTTGGCGCTCAATATAAGCTATGCTACACCCCAGGCAATCCTCCTTTTCCGTGGTCGTGACAAGGTTCTACCTCCGCGCAGTTTTAGGCTGGGTAGATTTGGACCCTTTGTCAATGCGTTCTCCTGTATATGGTGTGCATTCTATGCTGTTATTTTCTGCTTTCCTGTGACCCTACCTGCTGAGGTAGCAAGCATGAATTATGTCAGCGTAGTCCTCGCTGGAATTGTGCTTTTCATACTCCTGTTTTGGCTCATTTCGAAAAGAAAGTCGTTTACTGGCCCGGTTAGTCCTCACTTATGTTGCATTAATAACTATTAGCTAACTCATCTTAGGATATTACTGTTGAGGGTGTTGAAACTATTCAAGAACAGATTAATCAGTTGCAACAAATATCTGGCAAGGAGCGTGTATAATCTGTATCAGAAAGGATAATAGACTTGAGGTTCTAGAGGCGCACTGTTAAGTAGAGCTTGTAATATAACAGTAAGTTGTACTCTTTAAATAAGTATAGGTTGTATTTTTTTAATGAGTGTAGGTTTTATTCTTTAAATGAGTGGTTATCTTATATATATAAGAGAAATACAAAATATAAATCAAGCTCCTGGGTTGCCGGGAAGACTTCTAAGCAGCTATGACATGCTTAGTTGAGGGCGCAAAAGTCTCCTTCTTATAAACGCCAGCGCGGGCATAGACATCTTTGTACTTCTGGACAACATAGTCCTCGACACTGATAGGGGCATACTTCTCCTCTTCGCTATTCTTGCGGCAACTCTCGATGCAACGGATGACAAAGTCCGGGTTACCATTATAGTTGAAGGGGATGGAAAAGCGCTCCTCGCCCGAGCGGTTGATGACACGATGCACATTGGACACGTAAGTATCGTTTGTCCACTGCTCGAACAAGTTCCCCATGTTGACCACATACGCGCCCTCTACCGGAGGTGCTGGGTACCAGTCCTTGGCTTCGTCATCCCACACCTCCAGCCCCGGTACATCACCCTGTAGGAGGAGCGTGATAACACCAAAGTCACGGTGGGCTCCAATACCTGCAGTGTATTAGATATGCCAGCGCTTTATATGAACGTGGGATTGAGAAAGGGATAGTCATAAGTGTACAGAGAGGTGGAAAATGGTGATAGAACATACCGCGCTGGAGAGCATGTGCGTCATCAGGCTGGGGAGGGTAGTGCAGCAGCTTGTAGAAGCACATAGGGTCGGTACAGAACTCGTCAAAGTAATTCTTGTCATAGCCGAGACTCATGGCCATGGCGCCCATAACCTCCTCTGTGAGCTGAACGATGCGGTGGAGGTAGTCCATGCAGGTACGGCGGAAGGGCTCGCCAAGGGCCTCTGGCCATACATTGGGCCCATGAGCGAACTTCTCCGCCTTAACTTGAGGGTGGTCAAGAGGCAGGTCGCGCGAGACGTAGTAGCCTTCTTTCAGGTCCGGCTTAGTGTTGGCTTCGATCATCTGCCCGTGCATAACCTCATAACCACGGTTGTACGAGTTCTAGTTTTGATTTTAGACCAAATCCGTTGTATTGCGCATGCTTGTGTAGTGGAAAGTCACGGCTGCTAGGTGAAATAGCTACTTACGAGGGACTTATCCAGTTTCATCTTCTCCTCCAAAGGGAGGTCAAAGAATTCCTTGGAGACTTTGAACATCTCTTTCTGCAAACTAAGAGGGATACCGTGGTTGACGATCTGAAAGAAGCCCTGGGTAAGGCATGCCTCTCTGATCTGGGCCGCACAGTGCTCCATCCGCTTCTGGTCTCCAGACAGGTAGTCGGAGAAGTCAATGACGGGAGGAGTCTTAGTGGAAGGCATTTTGGCTTATTTTAAGAGACTGGGAAGATGAGTATTGTGAATAGTAAGAGGCTGTGTAGATGAGTTGTTGAGATTGATGTTTCGTTTTGCTTCTTGTCCCAGATCTTGTAGCTATAGAGATCAGTCTTTATATTTATAGTTTTCAGCAGTCACACTCAGCAGAGACCCTGCCAAGGGATTCTTCATGAGGATTTGTCTTGAATGGAAACTGATGACGCGTCCTTGCCCTCGATCGTTGAGGTGGTATGATGCTGCTGACCGAGCTCTTCGTAACCTTTTGACATGTAACCCTTACGAAATGTAAGCTGCAGTCAGCCAACTTCTCTTATTTGTTTCTACAATGTCGGCAGTTGAGCAATGGAACTTTGATGCCTTGACGGTCCGAATAGAACTTGCTGAACTGAGTCAGACAGCACATAGAACGCATCTAGCCGGCTGTGATATACCGGATACCAACTTCTCCGGCCCGGTAACAAGGGTTTCGCTACAAGTAAGTGACCCGTTTTTGCCTTGTCTGTAGATGCAGTGCCTCAAAAATGTAGTTATTTTCGTGCTTGCTGACCACGAAGCGTAGTGCTTACTGCACCTACATGAATCAGGGAGGGGGGTTGTGACAAGGATGCGCCTATTTGCAAGATGCGTGCATCATTGAGTGATTGCCTTCTCAAAGTTTAATTCGGCTATAGTTGATATGAGACGATGCGGGCCGTTCGATATGGCTAACAGGATTGTTGCTGAAGACAGACAACTACCTCCGTGCTTAGCGGCAACTTGTTTAGGTATATCAGGCTCCAAGTCCTCGGCTTTTCGATGAGCGGCGTGTACTGCGTCTTTCTGCAGAACAGCAAAGAGACAACTTCGAAACGTCATCCCCTTCCTTCTGTTACCCCATTTTGACAAAGATCTATCCATCAATCATGCACGTCGGTATTGTCGGTGCAGGTATATCCGGCCTTTATACCGGGCTCTTGCTACGTCGAGAAGGTCACAGAGTGACCATATTCGAGGCAGCAGACCGTGTAGGGGGACGTATCTACACTCATCGCTTCACTCCCCAAGTTAAATCACAAGATGTATACTTCGAGGCTGGAGCGATGAGAATCCCCCGCTCGTCGCTTCATTCCATGGTCTTTGACCTGACACGCTATTTGAACACGCACGGTCCCGCCGAGAACTGGATTGAGTTGATTCCCTATATCCTTGAACACGAAAATAACAAATCGTTTTTCAGGGGTCAAAAGGGACTACTGCAAGATCCTCGCTGGTCTGCAGACGCGGATCTCCCCGCAGGCTTCCGTAACAAGACTCCACAGCAACTTCTTGGTCGCGTGGTCATCCCATGGCTGACGTTACTCCGTCAGAACTTCGACGATGGGTTTACAAAATTGCTGCAATACGATGAGTACTCTTTTCGTGCCTATCTACGCTCTGCTGCTGGATGGCCTCATGAAGTAATTGAATTCGTCGAGCTTTTCTGTTCGCAGACGAACCAGTATGAACTTAGCTTTACCGAAATCATCATGCAGAACCTCGACTTTGACACTAAGGATGTAAGTCTCGGCCACCATGGAGCTGTCATCAGCGGCAAGACAACTAACGAGACCACCAGTGGGTGACAATTCGCGATGGCATGTCACGCATGACCCAGTGTGCAGCTTGCCTTGTTGGCTTTGAGAACATCCGCCTCAACACGCGAGTAGATCGGATCACCAATTTGGACGATGGGCGCGTCGAGTTGTCAGCCAAGGGCCTGCATCAAACGACTACCAGAGCATTTGACGCCGTGGTCCTTGCTATACCCCCTCTGGCAGTCCACAGTATAGTGGACCGACCTAGGTGGTCCTTCATGAAGGAGCAGGCGATCCGGGGTGCGCACTACGAGCCGCTCTACAAGATGGGAATGCATTTTCGCAGCCGTTTCTGGGAGAGAACTGACAGAAACCCGTGCTTTGGGGGTCAAAGCACGACAGACCTGCGTTTCCGGTGGATCGTGTTTCCATCGAATGACCTGGGCAGCAATGGGAGCGGTGTGTTGCTGCTGTACAGCTGGATGTCAGATGCTGCCAAGTGGAGCGGACTTTCGCAGGCTGAGCGCATCAAGATTTGCCTGCATGATCTGAGCCTTTACTACGCGGATGACCCCGACATTGATGTATACGAGCAGTACATTGAAGCCTTTGATATCATGTGGGCGGAGGAATGGAGCGGAGGGGACGCCATGTTTCTTCCTGGTCAGTTCTCTCGTTTCCACGATGTTGCCAAAGCACGCGAGGGACATGTTTTCTTCGTAGGGGAGCACTTGTCCAGACATCACACTTGGGTAAGTGCTAAACTGCCGAGCCTAAGCCCATCCAATTGACCTTCCTTTCGCAGATTGCCGGGGCCGTTGAGTCGGCATGGCGAACGACGGCCGAGTTGCTAGGGTATCTAGTCTAGGAAGAGACAGCGGATATGGCAATTGGCCAATCGGGATTAGTTGCCCTCGGCCGCGAATACTTTAGTGCAGATCAGAATCGTATCGGGAAAAGAACTGACATTAGCTCCCGACGGTTCAAGGCTTGTGTCATTCCCAAGCATTTGAACGTGCAGTATGTCGACATCTTTTAAGCTTGGGTGGTGATATCACACAATATTGTAGCGGGGCGGGAGTCAAAGCTTTAGTAGCAGAGCAAGCAGGGATTCGCAATAGACACTTTGAAGTAACATGCAACGTTCCCAGTGACTCAACTCAAGCCGGCCTAGCCGGCTTATTCAGGGGTTTGACTTGTGGAGGGTCAGGCTTGAAGTTTTGAACTGAACAACCTGACTCGAGTTATTAGGAAGTTGTACGCCAGACAGGGAACGAGCATGCAAACCCCGCATACACAAACTCCACATACCTAAGGGTAATACCAGGGGTCAGTCACGCAACAGTCAGTCACTAGGCCTCGACTCGAGAGCAGTAGGTGAGCCCTGCCTATAACCCTTCCCGGAGGAAATTATGCGCCCTAGTTGGCTAGTAGGCCACGCGTTTCCATACTTCGAGGACTGGATCCCCTGGCTTTCAGCGGCTGCTAGCTCTTGAGTAGGATTTCTAAGCGCAGACCTAACTTCGGGCCGAGACGGCACGGAATGACACCTTGTCATTTCCCGGAGTTGGTCTGCTACCCTTCTAGGAGCCTGACAGGCTTGTGGGTCCGGCGCTAAACGAATAACAAAATCCAATCGCTTTGCTAATCCAGGCAGATGTACTGGTTGGCCGTCACGTCACCGGGACCCATAAGTCTTAGGGGTAAGGGCGCGCCAGACAGAATCTCAGTGTCCTCCCCAACACTTTGAACTGATTTCATCGCAGAACAGCCGCTATACAAGTACAGCATAGCATATCACCGGAAAACCCTTCCCATCAGGTATGCCATCGGCCGTTTTGTAGCATTTCCACTACTTTGTATCTTATGACGGCCTCGTCGCCACTCACTTCCTTTTGGAAATTGATCCCTAGCGCTGAAGAGCATTATGTCGGACCAGAGCCATGGGCAAACAACAGCAGAGACCATCGCTTTAGACCACGATGAGAATCCCTTGAACTTCTCTCCCGCACGCAGGTGGACCTGCACCATCGTTGGTCAGTACAACAAGACAGCCATAGCAGTCAATCGAGTTGATGATTTCTTATAGTGGTATTCATGACTGCTACCATTGCCTTTTGTTCATCCATCTACACGGCCGCCATCCCCGCCATATCGCAGGACTTGAACTGCTCTGACATTGTCACAACCCTGGGTGTCACCACATTCCTGCTTGGCTTCGGCACAGGTCCCCTTATCTTCGCACCGTTGTCGGAAACTTACGGTCGGAACCCCGTGTATCGAAGCACATTATTACTCTTTGTGTTGTTCAATATTGGCTGTGCCCTGTCTCCCAATGTCGCCGCCCTCCTAGTCTTTCGCCTCTTGTGTGGCTTCTTCGGTTCACCTACTGGTAAGCTACCACTGCTGCTGCTAATTTTGTTGACAGTCCATGGATGTCGCTTGCTAATGGGAGATATGGACCAACAGTAACTAACTCGGGTGGCTCTTTGACCGACTTGTGGCCGCCAAGTCATCGGTCTGTTCCTCTCGCCCTGTTTACTGCAGCGAGTTTCCTAGGCCCAGTCGTTGCGCCTATTGTTGGTGGATTCTTGACTGAATACGCATCTGTGAGTGACCCTGAGTGCGACACTCTGTGCGTGGCCAAATGTGACTAATGCGACCTTGGCAAGTGGAGATGGTAGGCCTGCACTGGGCTACAGGCCTTTGCTGCCTATATATATTCATTTATACTGACAAGCTCTCTAGGAACTTCTGGCTAGTGTCCATTCTGAGCGGCCTCGTGTATATCACCATGGTTGTATTTCTCCCTGAAACTTATGCGCCAAGGCTGCTGCAAACAAAAGCACGAAAACATAGCACTCAGGAGCCACACCAGGCATTAACCGTCATGCTCTGGACTAACATCACTAGACCAACCGTCATGTTTCTAACCGAACCAATTCTGTTCCTGTTATCTCTCTACATGGCTTTTATTTACGGCATATTGTACCTTGACTTCACCGCGTACCCATTTGTCTTTCAGCAAACTAGGCATTGGGACACTGGTATATCCGGTCTCAGCTTTCTAGGTAAAGATACAATTTGTTTAGTTTATCTGCGTAACGGAGCCTTTCTAAGAATTTGACTTTAGGTATCGGAGCTGGAATGGCTATTGCCACAGCAGCTTCACCATACATCAACCGCGTTTATGGGATTTATGTCAAAAAGCTAGGCGGGCCTAGACCCGAAGCTCGGCTGCCGCATTTGATCTTACTGTCATGGTTGGTCCCGCTAGGACTATTCTGGTTTGCGTGGACGGCCGACCCGTCCATCCACTGGGCGAGCTGTATCATTTCAGGTATTCCTTTCGGTATAGGCTTTGTGGTTCTGTCATTGGGTATAACATCATACCTCATTGACTGCTACGGAAAGTATGCTGCCAGCGCACTCGCCGCCAATGCGATTCTCAGGTCTCTGTTCGGAGCAGGGTTTCCCCTCTTTTCTCATCAAATGTTTAACAAACTGGGTGCTGCCTGGGCGACCTCTATCTTGGGCTTCATTTCAGTGGCTCTGGCACCTTTGCCTTTTGTCTTTTACCGCTTTGGCCCACGCATCCGCGCGCACTCCACGTTTCACCAAAGAGCTATAGAGGAAGAGTCTGAGGTAGTGGCTCCTTTAGACCAATCTAGTAAGAAAGAGTAGAAGATAGTAGTATATCAGCTAGGGAGAACTATAATATTACTATAACTTTATAAAGTCAGATTATTTAACAGTATTTAAGAATCTAGAATAGTTATTAAACTTAAAGATATAAGCCTAGCTACATAAAATAAAAGAATTATTCTATCTATTACTAATCAAGGAAGCCATCTGGCACTTCCGGGCCCCAGACCGCCAGGCTTTCATTTCCTGCTAGTAAATAAGAAATTGGCGTATCCTTATTGACCAAGTCGCCATCCGCATAGTGCTCAATCATGTTCCCTGTAGTATCCCACCAATAGTCAAAAATCTGGCTTCCCAAGATATGACGTCCAACGCCCCAAACGCTTCTATACCCCTTTTTTGCTAGCCACTGATGGCCCAGCTTCTGGGTATCGAAGTCATGAACTTCGAAGGAGCAGTGGTGCACATGGGGTTCCCGACCTGCTTCAATAGTACTTAGGAAAATGGTGTGATGGTCAACGCAGTCGTTCCCTCTGTCTATGTGAGCAAAGAGTGCTACTTCACGCCTGTTCTTGCTGCTGTCTTGGACGTAAAGCAAATCGGTGGGTACAAAGTTGAAGTTTCGAGTGTACCAGTCAAGCTCCTTGTTGAAATCTTGGACGCAGAGTCCGTAGTGACCAAGCTGTTTGCCATATTAGTACTGGTTCACAGCTAGAAGTGAGTGAACAATTATGTCCTCTGACCTTATGCACCGCGGCTGGTCCCTCGCTAAACCGCTGGAATCTTCGTTTACGTGGCTTGTCATCTTCGAAGTTGACTATAAGCCTTTCGGGCATCTTTCCCACTTCAGCAGGTTCCTGTCCGTAGATGAAATTTATTGGCAGGCCCTCGGGGTCATAGACAGTCACCAACGAGCCGCCACCTGGCGCGTCAACTAACTCCTGAATTGGGCTAGCTGTCTCGAGTTTGGAGGCTTTGACGAGATCACCATAAGTCTCAACCTCGAATGTTCCACCCAGGAACTGTTTGGGCCCCTTCTGCGCATAGTAGACATACTGGTCAACCCCATAACCTCGGAACCAAATCGCGTTCTCAGTCTCCTTGGCGGGAACCATGCCAAAGTCATAGAGAAAGGTTCGAATACTTTCAAAGTCAGGGTGCTGGTAACGCATATGCACCAGCCGAGTTGTGCGGATCTGTTCCGATGGACTGATACCGCGTTTCTGCTGCCACTCGGCGGTCGTAATCTGTCCACTGGGCTCGTTGGCCTCGCTGTCCAGCACTGAGGCGCCAGCATTGAATCTTGGGGCAGTTGGAGCCTGTCAGGTAGCTAGTTGTTAGCAACAGTTGCGTTTCAAAAGCCCAGCAGGCAGATAATACGTACGCTGGTCATTGTGATCTCGTAGGGAAGGTCGCTGCTATGATTTGAAGATATGATGTATTGGTCAACGTCTTGTGATGAGCCTTGCGAGGCAGTGTGTTTGATGGCTAACCACATGTATTTTATCCTACACTATCTTCTGTACCCGGATGCCGATGTGGATGCTGTCCGTGGGGAAGACACCGTGAGCTATAAGTTATGCGGGGCAACCAACCGCCTCTCATCCTCCGTCTCCCACAGCTTGCGGGGCACTTTTCCAACGCTTGTGGGGATGTCTCCTTTGAGCATCGCGTTGCTTTATCATTTTTCAGCCGTCACCTCGTGTACCTTCCCGACAGGCACATCGGCAATGGTCTCACGACAGAATCAGTACATGACTTCAATCAATGACACAGCAGCGCGTAAAATGTTCAGGAGTCTGTCTCTACAGATGAGGTATTGGACTTTAAGTGACAATGGTTATTTCAATGCAAAAGCCTCCGCCATGTGCTTGACCCATGGAGGGAAAAGGACTGAAGTATTGACTTTGACTCAGTTAACGAAAAGTTTGATAGGATCCTCAAGTCGCCTACTATGATTATATCCTGCATCTAGAGCAAAGCAATCCTAAATTTAAAACCGCCATGAGTGCCATAACAATATCAAACAATTAAATTAGCCAGCCAGCCAGTTGCAACAAGGTTCCGAAGCATTTCTGCTGCATATAATAATTCTGATCTGGTATCGCAAGCCGCGAAAACAAACCGATCAGGCCGTAAAATTACAAATGTCTTGTTACCTACTTCCCTTGACATTCTGCGTGCATCATATCCTACAGGCTCGGGTCGCCCTACACATAGTCTTGCGTCCCGAGCAAACTCCTCGGCACTAGCAACTCGATAAATAGACGGGCCCTTCAAATGGGAAGTCGATGCGCTAATGCTGCCTAGGAACAAGGTTGCTTCTCCATCTTGCAAAGCCCCCGCCGAAACTTCTTGGAGACCATCCAAGGCATTCTTGATGTCTCCCAAACTTTGGCCTGGCTGCAATAGTACGACGACTTGGAAAATCCCCTTTTTCTGCCGACTGAAAATAATGTCGTCGGTAAAGAAGACAGATTTGCTTGTGGAGGTATCGGTGGTAGAGGTTGCGTAAACCTGAGGGAACATGACGCCTCCGCCAAGGCTAGGCAAAAACGCCATCCCAGTCCCCTCATGCCACTGGTACTTGACCATGCCGTCTCTCCGATTTCCTAGCTCTAACCGGTGTTTCCAGCTGGGGACTAGTTGTGTCAGATAGTAGTAAAAATCGCGTAGGAAAGCTTTGATGGCGTTGGACTGGGTCACATATTCTCCATTTTCGACAGTTGACCGGAGTGACTTGTCGAGTTGCTGTTTTCGTTCCGAATACCATCCTTGTAGTAGCTTCTGAAAGGCCAACTCGGCCCTAGAAGATCCATTAACGGCTATACGCAACCGCCAAGCTAGTGATATAGCATCACGGAAGCCTGAAGCAATTCCCTGTCCACCGAAGGGCGGAAACACGTGGGCAGCGTCCCCACAAAGCATAACCCGACCAAGAGACCATTTGTTGCAGCTTCTTGCTGAGAACCGAAATGGCCGACATCGAAGAACTTTGATGCAGTCTAACGGGTAGGTGATCGTCTTGTCATTGATACCATATCGGCTGCCTGGATGAGTAATATATGGGTGGACGATTGTGGCGACCTGCTCTTCCTTAGCCATCTCAGTTGGGTTCTCCCTATCGAGGACGACAAACTCGAAACGCCACAATCTATCACTATTGAGCCCAAAGCGGCCGCAGACTGCAGCACGGACAGGATTACACAAGAACCGAAAGTCCCGAGGAAAGAATTCATCATAGACTTGCTGCGGGCTATAACCCTTTTCCCAGAGCGGAAAATCAGGGTGTGTTGACGGCGTTGGAAGAGTGATTTCCCAGTTGAGGGCTACCCAGTCCTGCTCATATGGCACGTCTAAAGCTTGGTCCATGGTAACGCCTTTAGGCTCAAGGTATTGCTTGCGTGTAAATCCCGTCTTGCCATCCGCGCCGACAAGAAACCTGGCCCGAACGACACGAGTTTGGTTCGATTTGTTGGTATAACGTGCATAGACCCAGTCCTGGTCCTCAGTTATTGAGTTGACTGTTGCACCTAAGAGTAGCTTGGCTGCACCGAGGGCACAGATCTGAGACCTCAGGTTCTTTTCAATACAAGGCTGTTTGTGGCACATGAAGCCCGGATGTCCGGTGCCTCCCTCGGTCTGCAGTTCAATGCCAGGTCAGCCACGCAACGCAACGCAACACCCTGGAAGGATCTTCCCACTTACTGTGCCATAGTTCATCATTAGGAACGGTTCCCTACTGAGGTCTGTGTGGTTCTTTCCGATAAATTTAAAGTTCTCCATACCTGAGGTCGTTTGGTGTCAAAATGCAAGACCCAGAAAATCCAATACATAAACTTACATTGCCCAATTTCTGTAAATATCTTGTCGTAAATACCGCATGCTTGAAGGCAGCGTATACCGTCTTCGTCAAGTGCGATTCCCCGCGGATCAGCATTGACCTCGAGGTCTTTTTCGAGGATGACATGAGGGATGCAGTATTGACTCAATAGCACCGACAGCATAGCACCGGTTGGTCCACAGCCGCATATAATAATGTCAGTTGTGTCTTGAAAGTCGTTTTCCGCCATTTCAATTTCTGGCTCAGTTATTGGTGTTTGTCCCTGTCCTGCTAAAACTATCAGAACCTCCCTAATATATTCACTTTGCTCTGTAACTCGCATATTAGTCTCACCAAGGATCCCCGCTAGGCATTCGTTATTGCGGGACATGCCCAACTTTGCGGAGAACTTTGCGGGGAACTCCGCGGGGCATACTTAGTAGAGGGAGGGGGCTTCTAACTAATTCCAACAACATGTAAATACAACGGGTTAGATCAATGTTGGCAATTACAAAGATTTTCAAGCTCCTTGTTATATAATCGGCAAGGACATGAACCAACCATTCTAAGCATTTTTCATCAGCTATAAACGACGTCAAGATGTCATCTTGGACTCATTTGATTCGTTTTAAAGCCAAAGAGGATGGTCAGGTTCACCTGGGTCAGTTGGTCGATAGCACTCGGGACATTGGGCTCGACTATATGGACGGTGTGGAGATTAAAGCTTTCTTACTCAACGGAGACATATACAACGGCACCGTTACAGAGCAAGTACTCACAGTAGACTACGTAAGTGAGAAAAACAAAACGAACCACGAGAAAGAACTTATCAATACTGACAAAAAATGGCCAAGTTACTCGCGCCGGTCGACCAAGGACAGTGTAACTTTATCAGGTGTCTTGGGCTAAACTATAGGGACCACGCAGAGGTGAGTGAGCTGGCTCCTCCAAGTTTGTAACTACCATTTCTGATATATACGTAGGAAGGCAATTTCCCAATTCCCAGCGACCTCGAGGTTTTTACCAAACCCCGCACTGCGCTCACCGGCCCTTTCCCGGCGGCAATTACTATCCCAAAATGTGCTCAGGACGGATCGAGCGATTATGAAGCAGAACTTTGTGTTGTGATTAGAAAAGCCGGTCGAGACATCCCAGAGAATAGGGCTCTGAACTATGTCTTGGGATATACGGCGGCCAACGACGTTTCGGCCCGGAATCTCCAGCTGGCAGTGAAACAGTGGTCCTTCTCCAAAGGACTGGACAATAGTTGCCCAACCGGTAAGTTTTCGGGCGGACTGTTGGACGCTACTGGCCGACTTGACTTGGTTTAGTCTTATTAATGAGTCAATAGGCCCTGTGCTTGTTTCGCCCTCGACGATTCCTAATCCCCAGTCTCTTGGCATAAAGGCTATCTATGACGGTCAAACTGTACAAAATGGAAACACGACCAACATGATCTTTTCAGTCGCGAAGCAAGTTTCATGTCTTTCTAGAGGAACAACGCTGGAAGCTGGCTCTATCATACTTACAGGAACGCCCGCGGGGATCGGGTACTTTAAGAAGCCCCGTGTAAGCCTGGAGGACGGAGGCAGGATTGACATTCACATTGAGAAAATCGGGACATTGGTAAACATGGTTAAGTTTGATGTCATGTAGATACTATTGTATAGGTAGCATGAACCACCACAGGGACTATGCTAGATTTGCTGACACAGATGATCAATTGAGCCAGGCTTCTTGAATGCAGACCCTTCAAAACTCTAAATTGAAATATCAAACGACTCATACTCATTGATCCGCCATCCGTGCACGAATGTACTGTACTGTTGTGTCGTAAGGTTCGGATAATTGGAAATCTCCGGCCTGTGCGGGGTTGGAGCACTAAGAGACCGGCTTGTACTCCGGGGGTAAACAACTTACCTCAATGTTGTTAGTTTCGATGTCGCTCAGACAGACCTGCTGACGCAAATGCGGGGTTCCCTTTTGTTCCTTTAAGTTCGTGTTATCCCCTTCCCAAGTTGCCTACTCCACGGGCTTCCAAAAAGCAGCATTGCACTAATATAACCCCCGAATGCAAGGGAAATGCAACCCTTCCCTCAGAATAACTCGGGATCAAATCTTGTTCAAAAACGAGATCGCAATGGTACTGAAATGCCTCCACCCAAAAGGCAAAGAACAGCCCTTGCCTGCAACCGTTGTCGCGCAAGGAAAGTCAAAGTCAGTGCTCTATGGGTTTCGAGACTTAACCCTACCCTACCCTACTCTACCCATGGATTCCATCGCTAAAAATGATCCTTCAGTGTGATGGAGGGTATCCTTCGTGTTTCCATTGCCAGGATACTGATGAGCGTTGCGAATACCGAACATCTTCTCATCGCGAACAACAAGAGGCTATTTCAGACAAGTATTGGCGGAAAGAAATAACTAATGGTTGAATCAAGTGCTAATCGAAACGAGCAGCACCCTGGTACTTGAGCAGCGGCTCAAGCTTCTAGAAGATACTGTGCAACGACTTCGAAACACATCATTTTCGACCGCAGAAGAATCTGATGAATGTGACTCACCACAATTAGTCATCCAGGACCTGCCTGAGAATTTCCTATATTCGAGCAACGATCAAGATGGCGGAGGAAGTACTGGAGAAGAGTTCTACGGTCTGTCTATCCCATGACTTGATAGTTTCATGCAAAGTCTCATCATCTAATCCAAACACAGGCCCTTCTTCCAACATTTTCTATCTTAGGCAGATCCTGGGAGAAATTGACTCCGCAACCTTGTCTTCCTTCCGTGGCACGGACAGCAAGATTTCAGGCTTCATCAAGCCAGAATGCTCCCCTCCAGCAGCAGTGTTTCACATGGAGTCAGTCCCAGTAGCCAGACATGCTGACAATGAAGATCTTTATATTCTTCCCCCAAATCATGCAACTAGGTCCCTCGTCGAGCTTTTCTTCCGAGACTATGGTTCGATGAACCCATTTTTGGACAAGCAAACATTCATCCACACTCATGTTGATCCTATCTACGAGGGAACAATCCCCCCGGATCCATCTAAGCTGGCGTTGCTCGATATGGTGTTAGCGATAGCTACAGCGTCGAGTGTTGACTCAATCACGCCGGCTACACGAAGATTCCTGATTTCGAGGCTCTTCTTTGAGAGATCGAAAAACTTGTTATCAAAGGATGCTTTTGAATGTGGCAATCTTGAACAAGGTAATTCCTGGCAGTACAGCCGTCAAGATGACTGTCAGATTGACTGACTTATGACGTTACTTTGCCTTTGTAATCACAGTTCAGTCCTACCTGTTGATGAGTCAGTACTTGCAATGCACTGATCGGTGTTCGGATTCATGGTCGACATATTCCATAGCCGTCCAAAAGGCCCTCCGCCAGGGTCTTCACAACGAGGATTACCTAGCCACGGACTTGTCTCCTGAAAAAGAGGCCAAACGGCGAACTTGGCAACTGTGTTTGTTCATGGATAGGTGATGCCCCGTGGCAGCTTAGTCTTGACACGAGGCTAACACATGGTGCAGCGCCTTTTCAATGCATTTTGGGCGTCCGTCTTTGCTGGGGCCTTTTAAGGAGCGAGCTGGTCTCTTCGTAAATCAACCATTACCAGTCCCGGCTGCAAGGTCTTCACCGTCGGATCGTTGGCCTGATGAAGAGAGCTCAACCTTCTTTTATCTATCTTTGTGAGCATAACTTGGCCCCATTGCTCAAACCTGATGGCTCACTGATCACTTTCAAAGCAAGCTTTACGCAATCTTGGGACAGATTGTTAGCACAGAATATTTTCAGAGCCCGAAACCTCTTGACTTGTCTCAATTCATGGACATTATAGCCTCTATAACCTGCATGAGTCAAAAGCTTGACGACTGGCTTGATTCATTACCCGAGAAATGGCAAGCATCGATCTTAGACTCCTCGGCTGCGCCGGTAGACGAAGCTGAGTCGCAACACAATTTATACAGGGTCCTAGGTTTGCGGTACCACAACGTCCGCCTCATGCTACATAGGCCAGCTCTTGTGCTTGTGCTATCGGCTGTGAGAAAATCAGCCAATCCTAACGACATGACCAGAACGTCTAGACGACGGATTCTTCTGTTCTCCAGGCCTAGTCTTGACACGAGTATAGAGTCGGCCGAGGCCATCGTAGCCACGATCAATGCGTTTGAGGGTGGAAAGCCTGGACCAGGAATGTGGTGGACATTGATCCAGATCGGTGAGCGTGACATGACTGTGCAACAAACTATCGTACTGACATTAATTCAGTTTACAACGCGACACTGACATGCTTTGCTTTGATATGTCTGCAGACAAAGGATGCTGCTTTTGGAGGGTTTCAGGCCGTCTCCAAGGCCCGGGCATGTATCGACCTCGCCAGACAGGCATTCTGGAAGTTGGTACCCGACCATCCTGCTGTAGAAAGAGCTTCAAGCTTTCTGCGACACATTTCTCGACTCTGCGATCATATAGGTACGGTATATCCGTGCTCCTCGGATCATTTCTCACTTATTGATGGATTCTCCGCGAACACAGTCCAGCAGAATGTCAGCGCATCCTTAGTAGATTCTGTCCCAAATATTTCACCAAGTCAAGCCGATACAGAATGCCTAGGACCAGAGTCATTCCCTTTCGACTTTTCAATATTCGAAAGCCTTAATGATCCATTGTTCACATATCGTCAAAACGATTTTGAGAAAGATGCTGATGCTTGAATCGGAATTAACTTGGCTTAAATGAGTCGTCATTTAAATATATATACTTTACTGTGATGATCGATTTGGGCTATGTTACAACGGCTTTCTTGGCAGACATCCAGCGTAGATTCTGAAGCAGACATTCCAGCATCCAGGATACCTGCCATAGCTACAGTCGGCGCATTTCTCCTATTGCATTGCCCTCATCATCGCATTACGTGCTTCTTCCACTTCGTCTTCTGGGGCCAGCTTCGACAGCTTCGTGATTTCTGCCGCTGACTTGCGTACTTGTGCCCGAATCTTTGGCCAATCTACATTCACCAGCTTACCACCAGACTTGAGGATTTCTCCATTCACCATGACCGTATCGATATCGGAACCATTTGCATAGTTTACCAAGGCAGCCACAGGGTCATGAACTGGAGTGAGCCTAGTAGAATCACACTTGGTCATGATGAGGTCCGCCCGTTTGCCTGGAGTGATACTTCCAATCAGCTTTTCTAGGCCGACAGCCCGGGCGCCTCCAATAGTCGCCATTTCAAGAACTTCAGCACACGGTCGTGCCATAGGGAGCGGGAAAAGGGACTTCTTTTGCTCCTCGTATCGTTGGGCCTGAAGAACAAGTCGCATCTGTTGGAACATGTCGCCGGGGCAGTTGGAGGTGATATCGACGCCGAGCCCGACTCTGAGACCACGCTCTTTAGCCTTGTATGCGATAGGATAGCCAACGCCCATCTGCATCTCGATCTCTGGAGTTGCAGAGAGACCCAAATCGTACTTGTTGACAAGCTCCAATACCTCGTCGGTAAGAGAATTGGCGTGGCTCCAGAGTATGTCCGAGCCTAATAGATCCAACTCCCCAAACCTCTTGGTCGTCATGTGACCACTGTCAAACTTGCCCAGGGCGATGTGCGCTGTGATTATGGCAGCACCGATGGCTCTTGCTGTCTTGAATTCGTGCAGAAGTTGTTGGAAAGGAATTGCCTCGGCCTCAGACGGCGCCACTCCGAAACGTAGAAGCTCATCGGGTCCATTGGAGGCAAAGTGCTGTTGACGAACCCGGGCAGCGTCTTTCAACCGCCACTCAACATCCTTTTCCCTCTCGGCGTCTACGTTGGAACCCGCCCAGGCCGGATTGGGGTAGAAACCATAACAGAAGGTTCCTCTGATCTTTGCGTCGCGCAGGCCTCTGATAGCTGCATCCGCGTGAGCAGGGCTATTCATGATATGTGAGTGGTCGATCAGATACGTGATGCCGTTATCGATAGATTCGAGAGCTCCGCAGTAGTTCCCCAGATAGGCGTCCTCGGCTGAGTAACAGGATCCGTAGATGTGTCGCACGTTGAGCAAATAGTCAGAGAGGACAAAGTCGGTGCAGATAGTCCTGAGCTGGGTTTGCCACGTGTGACGGTGAGTGTCAATGAAGCCCGGAGACACAATAGCATCCGTGCCATCAATGACGATGTGGTCAGAATACTCCAGATTTGGTCCTACTGCTTTGATAAGGCCATCCTCAATCAAAACATCGCCGTCAGCGACAATTCCAATGCTCTCATCGACTGAAATCACCGCCGCATTCCTGATGATGTATTTTGGAGCCATCGAGATTGTCGTGATTGGCTGTTGAACTTAGTAGAAGAAGTTTTACCAGAAATAATAGATAGATGGAATACTTTTGAGCATATATGAATGTGTCAATGCAGTGTTGGGCTTAGATGTGCTATGTTTGCTTGGTATTTATGCTAGATCCACGAGTACTACAGTGTTCTCTAGGGTAGTCATGAGTATTGGATTTGTTTCCCCGCATTTTCCGACTGTCATCTGACCACTAGGTATCAGAATGAAAATCTTGTGGGGCATGAGTATCTCCTTTCCAATTGGTCCGGAAAAGCCGAATGCAAAGCCCGAGAGACTTACAGTAAGAAGGACTTTTCGGCCTTTGCGGATCGCCGGGTTATTAAAGATATCCGCCCTGAAGTTTATTTTCCCCGCAAAATGGAGCGGAACCAAGCCGATCGCCGAGGAAGTGAATCAAATCATTACGCATGAGAGGATCACCATAGTAGCTAGGTATCGACCATAAGCTAATAAGTCTAGGCTACATTGATTATATTCCCCTTGCTAAACTCAACTCCAAAAGGAACGAGAATCATTAATCGCCATACGCTCCCTGCAGATTTATCTCTCTTTATTCATAAACCAATATTGTAAGCGCAATGCCGTTCAAGGTCGGGTCTGTGTCTGTAATACAGTCGCCTCTTCCGCCTCCCGAGCAAGATGACAAGTACGACAATGCAGAATACAGTATTACTGTGCTCAAAAAAGGACACAGAAAAAACCAAGAATCAGCCCCTTTTCAAGCAGATACAATATTTGAGAAAGATGTTCAATTTACTCTGCGTGATGGCGTGCATATCAGGGCGGATATTTTCCGTCCCGTCAATGACGCTGAGAAAGTCCCCGCTCTTGTGGCTTGGAGTCCCTATGGAAAGACAGGAAGAGGTAGCACTGGCTTTGACACCAGTAATCACTATGGGTAATCATGCACTAACCTGATTGCAGGCTTTTTCTGTCTTGATTTGTTGCCAGGGAGAGTAGGCGTGCCCAAAAGCCGTCTCTCTGACTATGAAAAGTTCGAGGCCCCAGATCCTGCCGAATGGACTGCTCGTGGCTATGCAATCGTCAATGTGGACGTCAGAGGCTCTTGGGACTCCGAAGGCGACCTAGTGTAAGCAGGACCTACATCTCTTCTCTGCGTCCTTTAGCACTGTACTTATATCCGAACAGCTGGTGGGGGAGAGCCGAGGGAAAAGATGGATACGATGTTGTCGAGGAACTTGCGCGGCTTCCATGGTGTAACGAGGCCGTCGCAATGGTCGGCAATTCGTGGCTGGGCATCGCTCAGTGGCTTATTGCTGCTGAAAGACCTCCCCATCTGAAATGCATCGCGCCGTTTGAGGGAGCTAGCGACATTTATCGTGAGATTATTTGTCGCGGCGGTGTACCATGCAAAGCGTTTATCCGATTTCTAGCTCAGCAGAACTTGGGTTCGTTGTCCCGATCGCCTCACGCTACTGGATTAGCTAACATGGTAATTTTCAGGGAGAGGGAAACAGGAGAGCCTTGTCTCAATGATTGAGAAGTCTTCGCTAATGAACGACTACTGGGCAGACAAAAGGGCCAATGTGAGCAACATTAATGTGCCAATATACGCAGTGGCTAGTTATTCGACCGCGTTACACACATTTGGGTCATTCAGAGGCTACAGTGAGGCGCCCGTAAAGGACAAATGGTATGGGTATTCTTGCAAGACAACATTCCCGCTCACTCTGACCAATGTCTTCCACTAGGCTCCGTGTGCATGCTACTCAAGAATGGCATGACCTCTACCAACAAGAGACGAATGACGAACTCCAGCAGTTCTTGGATCGCTACACTAAAGGCAAGGATAACAGCTGGGAACTGACTCCAAGGGTTCGTGTTTCCATCTTACGCTACAACAAGGTAATGCATAACTCCCAATTGCTTTTACTCCTGAGCCTCCTGACTGACTTTGCGTTAAAGGAACCAATCGTAAACCATGTTTTTCCAGCATGGCCAATCCCGGCCACCAAGAATGAGCAGCTGTACCTGTGCCCGAACCAAGTGCTTTCCAAGGCTGCCCCATCATCAGAGTCACAAGTCTCTTACAAGTCCGATGTCCCGTTCATGCAAATGGACAGTGACTCTGAGGAACTCAAGTTTGAGTACACTTTCAGCGATGCTGTATATCTTGTAGGAAATGCGCAAGCAACCTTGTACATGTCGTGCCCAGACCACGATGATTTTGATGTCTGCGTACAACTAAGGAAGATTGATGGGAATGGAAAAGTCCTCCAGAACATCAATATCCCGTCAAAGGATTCGGGGATTGAAGACGACGATGTTGAGAGGATCAATTCTCTTGTCTACCTAGGACCCAGTGGGTACCTCAGAGCGAGCCACAGGGCAGTCGACTCTGAAGCATCTATTCCCAACTTTCCTGAGCATGACTACACTCAGCAACAGAAGGTCAAACCAGGTACTATCGTCCGGCTGGATATTGGGCTTTGGCAGACCGGAATGGCATTTGAAGCTGGCGAGGGGATTATGCTGAAAGTTTCTGGCCATAGTATGACACTGGCTGAGTTCCCTGTCCTTCGTGGCAACGAAAGCATGGAGAATGTTGGTACTCACCGCGTCCACCTTGGTGGTTCCACCCCCAGTTACCTTACCATTCCCCTTGTTACAATCTAGGTATTAGCTAACTCAACTTTTATGTGAATTGGATAATCTTTCAGCGGAATGTCCGTATACTCTGAGGTTATGGATGTAGATTCAATAATGAGCAAAGTGACCAAAACTAACTGGATAGTCATTGCTCATGAGGCCACTCTTCTCATACCAGTATGCTGCTTTTCTATTTCAGGTCGCTCGGCACCGTGAATGACTACGTCACAAACAAGGCTGGGAATTGATGGAAATACGTCCAGCAGGACACCAGGAGGACACTCAACTTTGTCCCAAATGAGCTGGCTTTCCACCACTGGCAAGGATCATGGAGGCAAGAAGAAAATCCGTCTTGGCACATTTCAATGAACGCGACTGAAAATGGCCTTAAAAGCTAGAATCAAGAGTTGGACAGAGTTGAATGAGCTGGTATCTAATATATAGCTGTCGTATCGAAATCATGGGTACCAACATAACCATCTACTTGATTTCTTGAGATCGCCGCCCAACCGTCATGGTTTACGTGTATCCACGGCCCTCTGGATAAAGATTCATCAGGAAAGCCCAATTGAGTGGGAGTCATCATCCAGCTTGCGGCCATTAACCACCGGCTCAGTTGCTGGAAGTATGATACACACAATCCGAGCCCACTCATCCGTATTATTATCCCAACGGTGCATTGATGCCTGCTGAACCAGAACGTCTCCTTCATTGACCGTTGTGGTACTGCCATCATCTGTCCAATGTACAAGGCTACCTTTGACCAGAATTATATAGTCTAAGGATACTGTTCGATGTGTTGCACCTTGGGATCGTGGGGGAAAGTCTACCACTCTGACGAGAGAACCTGGAGCCATGAAGCCAGAGTGCGATTCCGTTGGGTCCCCCAAAACATTTGGGTTGGCTGGAAATGTGTCGGTGATCCAAAGAGTCTTGACTTCCACGCCCATTGTCAGATGCTCTGACTTGAGCTGGCTATCATACTTGATGGTCGAGTTCGCATTGTTATCGTGGCCGATGACAATGCGCCGGACTGGCGGAAGCTTAGATGGCGGCATAGCTGGCGTGATGATAAGAGAGCGAAGGTACAGGAGAATACAGAATTTGCAAGCGTTTATTCAAGCAAGGAGTCTCTTAAATTGTGCCTAGTTTTATCCTTTAGGCCTTATGACTGACACGAACGACCCGTTTAGACTGTCGGATATGCCGAAGCGCGAAGCCGAGGACGAAACCCAAGCTCAGACACCGGGTCGGATCCCAGTGCCTGTGAACTCCTTCAACCTAGCGGGAGTCCAACATTACACTGAGATACCGATGAATCGCGTCTTGCGCGACTTTACGAATGTTGCGGAGCTGCCGACTTATTGTTCCGTCATGATTTGTCAAAGCAAACTAGGCAAAACCGCTAGTATCTTTGGCTATCAGGCTCGGCTTCGCGGCTCGTGCTATTTCGGCCTCTACAGTGGATATTCCTAGAGCCCGGGTCATCCTTTCGTGTCTTCTGATTATCAGCTGCCTCCAGAAACACTGAAACCCCAGTAACACAGCCAGTCGGCTAGTGCACTCGGCTCTAATGCCGTATGACCGATTCGGCGCGAGACCATAAACCACCAGAGCAATCAGCAGTTTGGGTACATAAGGATAGAAGAGGTGGTGTAATTTGTTGGAAATATGTCAATCTGTTGCTAAAATCACTAAACGGCAAAGAGAAAACAGAGCAGAGCAAAACAATAAATAGACATGGCGGCATCACTGGATTTCTTGGAGAAGTACCGTCAGGCAGAATCTGGCCTTGACATAACTGAGCAGACCTGGTACCTTGCCGCAGTAAGCTTGCCCAAGACTCCGGATACGATAGCAGCCCGCTGATTAGTCCCCAGGCCGCAGCATTAGCCGGCGCAAATGTCGGTGCACGCCAGCCAGATCTGTACCGCCTGGCCACCAAGGATCTGCCTGTAGAAAAGGAATTGATCGTGCAGAGACGCATAAAGGAGGTTATACTAAAGCTGAGCCTTATGATTGGGAATCCGAGGTCATTGGGATCGCTTATTCCCCTGTTTGGGGTCTTCAAACCAGATGTTGTGGATCTGTATGGGCCAAGGTGAAAGCAAACCTTCATGTTGTGATAGAGCCATCCTGCTGAACGATTCATACAGAACTGAAGAACAGGGTGATGCGGAAGCTCTCGAGCGCCGAAAGAAGCTGGCAGCGGACCACTTTGCAACCCTGTGGTCGCCGGATGCTGCTCGATCCAACTTCGAAATTCTGAAGAAGAACCATACAGATGCCCGTAAGATCTTCCATTCGACGTTATAAAACTATAGAGTATTTACTGAGAGACTCTAGACCTTCTTCTCGCTGAGTGGTCATATACTTGGTGGTTCAGCGAAGACCGTATCCTGAGTCTTGTTGAGACACAAATTGCTCTCGCGGGCGGCATCACCCTCAGCAATGCGCCTATGCAGGCGACGTGGCATACCCGAGGCATCGTTCGCTGTGGCGGATCTAGGGAGCTCGCTGAACGATCACAGAATCTCTACTTCGAAGTAGGCCGTAAGTTCAACGTTCTTATTGGAGATGTGCAGCTGGTACAGGAGATGGACTTTGAGCAGCCTGGGTTCCTTACGAGCTTTGCAAAGTAAGACAAAAAGGCTGTTTTAATAAGAATTATAGTTATAAATTACTTATATTTAAGTTTTTTCTTTTCTTAATATATATTAGCCTTATTTAGGGCTATCTAGCTTTTAACTT